CCCTCCCGCCATCAGTGGCTTTACAGCTGTTATTTTACAGAGGACCATCAGGAAGACCCTTCTGACCATGGGCTTATAGCAGAAGGGTAAAAGCCACTGACGTATGGGATACTGACGTGGCAAGCGGATGTGTTCTGCCGTATGTTGGTGGCACCGAAAGGGTTAAGAAGGTAATATGCCTTCATTTATAGGCAATAAATAAATACACATTTACACATATGTGTCTATACACATTTAGGCCTCTTTTATATAGGCACCGTCTGCTCCAATCAGCAGGAGATCCATGCACAGTTCTCCTGCTAATCGAAGCAGTACGGAACAGATGTCACTTGTAATGGAGGGGAAAAATGAACTAAACTGAACCATGTTGGGTCTATAGGCGAGTGGACATGTGCTCTTTTACATCAGATTACCCCTCTAGTCTGTCGTTCAGGTCATCAAAAACCGAACTCTAATGTTTTTACTTTTTTAGACCTAGATGGACTCGGAGGTAATTGGATGTAAACAAACACATGTCTGTTTCCATCTGGTGGCCTATAGATTAACATTGCACTTCCGATCAGGTCCACCTGAAAAACTGACAGGGGGATCTGATGGGAACACCATGTGAAGGGGTCTTATTGTAACCTGCATTGAGTATACAGTGTCTATAGTTGGAGTATTAACTTACTGTGTAATCATGATGTATATTACTGACCTGATTGATGATACATAACTAAGGTCAGTTGATCTAAATCTAGATGGTGCTGTTTATACTATACCTTGTACACTAGAGTAATGAGTAGTAGGACTGCAAATATACTGTTCAAAGGAGTACTATTGTGCTGCTTCATATGAATTCTTCTAGAACAGTGCGGATTGCACTGACAGTGATGATGTTTGTATCCACACTCAGCTGTCCTATTCTCATGATAGTTGCATTCTCTTCTCTTCTGTTTGATGGTTGAATAACTGCCAAAGTCCTATAAACTTCAGACATTCAGGTACTTTATCCAAGGAGCCATTTAAATCCATAATTCTTGGAGCAGAAATCCTGATCTGCATATAGTAGTGGTGATATGGTCTTCATAGTTGTAATTCCTTGATATATATTATACAGGTGAAACTCGAATAATTAGAATATTGTGCAAAGTTCATTTATTTCACTAATGCAACTTAAAAGGTGAAACTAATATATGAGATAGACTCATTACATGCAAAGCAAGATAATTCAAGCCGTGATTTGTCATAATTGTGATGATTATGGCTTACAGCTCATGAAAACCCCAAGAAGCCCAAATCCACAACCTCAAAAAAGTAGATTATTATATGCAATCAATAAAACAAGGATTGTACATAGAACAATATCGGACCTCTGAAAGGTACAAGCATGCATATGTACTCAGTACTTGGTTTGGGCCCCTTTTGCAGCACTTACTGCAATTACTTTTGCATGATATTCTAATTATTCGAGTTTCACCTGTAGGTGGTCCGGATTTACAGCTGCCTTTTGCTGGCTGTACACAGACGCATTGTGCGGCAATGCATCAAAGCTGCCATTGTTACTGGTGATCATCAGACAGAGGAAGGATGAAGAATAAGCATAAACAAGTGGTTTTAGAGTAATGAACGTGGATAGTATTAGACGTGGAAAATGTATCTCTTGTTAAAGTGTAAAATTTGTTTCATACGTAGCATTTACTGACCATCATCCTATACGTCCTGGCAATAATTTGCAGATTTGCTATAGATGTCATATCTATTGTCTCTGTGCCAAAATAGCTGTTTATCTATAGGAGAGGTTACTATTGCTGCCTCTATATCACTATCCAGACAACTTTCATTCTATAGCATACCTTGGGTTCGTTTTTTGCAATTGTATGCATGCATCATGTGTTGTTTGGATAACTTGCACATGTGATATGGATTTCAAACTTCTATTATAGATTATGTAAGGTTTCAGAAGATGATGAAAGGGATGATGAATGTTTAACATCTAACCAGTACCCAAAAGAGACCGTCCGGAAACGCCAAAACTCAACCCGCAGTTCAAGAAGCAGTGAGTCTTCACGGTCTTCCCGAAAGAGCTTCAAGTTGGATCTGAGATTAGAAGAGGATGTGACTAAGTCTATGAAGGACAAGAATGGGAGATTTGTCAATCCTTGGCCTACATGGAAGACTCCTGCCTATCACAGTGTTCTTAAATGGGCTATAACTGAGAAAGATAATAGCAATGTCCCCCAGTCAAAAGAGGTATGTGTGTTACAAGTTCTGCTTTTTAATCTTTTAATGTATAGAAAAAAACATAGCCCAGAGTTAAATGAATGTATGTATTGCATTTTTTTTTTAGCTGTGCTGGTTTTGTTAAAAAAAATACTACAAATCAAAACTGGGGAAAAAGTTTTGTTTTTTTACGTTTTTTTCCTCTTCTTTTTTTTATATTTTATTTGTCCTAAGTGAGGCGTTAGACACACATATGTGATATACATATATAGCCCTATCTGTCCTCTAAAAAACAATATATAATATGTGTGGGTGCACTTAGTAAGAAAGTATATTACTGACGTGAAAGAATCACACAGCAAAAATGTCAAAAGTGTGTCAGTCATTTACGAACAGAAACCAAAAACAAGCTCAGTCATGAAGGGGTTAAGAGCCATTGTAGTCTCATACATTGAATAGCTTAGCACGTCAACACTTAAATATAAAGTAGGCAGAAATGCAAGAATGTACTCATATTGCGTACTTATAGGAAGCTCTCCATAGTTTGTGAACTCAATTATAGATCGTTTTTTTTTTTGTTTTTTTTTTATTATTTTGGTTTGAATCATCACAAATGCAGTTGTCCCATCTTGCTTTTAAATCGTATTCATTTTTGTAAACTGTATGTAAACCGTAACAATGAACATCTCTTATTTGCTCCTTTTTGGGTCCGTTAACTATACCATCAAAAACATTTTGATACATTTGTTTTATAAGTTCAAATCAAAACCTGCGGACCTCGTGAGAAATTCAGTACTGTCCCGTGCCCGCTACCTGTGTTATCGCAAACAAAATATTCTTATCTTGGACTACAAGTCAGTTACTCCCTATGCTGTAAATAAAACCATGGAGGGTGGCTGAGGTAGTTCAGCAAAAGAAAATGGGCAGAGCCGACACTACTCGCTCCACAAAACTGCTGTGTGCTGTCAGCCCACAAAAGGCAATTAAGAGAAGAATACATTTTTGGCAGAACAACATGTATTTTTCTGCACTTGTAGGATCTTTAACGGGATAAACATGGGCAGATGTACATGTACTGCAAAGTAGGGATGTCCCGATACCACTTTTTCAGGACCAAGTACAAGTACTTCCCCTCATGTACTTGCTGATACCAATTACCGATACTTCAACTTAAAGGGACAGGTGACTTGAAATGATCCATAGTACATAAAATGTAGTTGTACTATGGATCATTTAAACGATTCATGTTAACAGGGGATCATTGTAAATCTATTGCTGCAGTGAATTGGGAATCTGTACATGTACTATGTACTATATATAGAATGCTCTGCAGCAATAGAAGTACAATTCTGCACTGCTAACATGAATGGGTTAAATGATCAGTAGTACAACTACATGTTATGTACTATCATGTACTACGGATCATTTAACCTATTCATGTTAGCAAGCATTGGATAATTGTAAAGCTATTGTTGCAGTGCATTCTATATGTAGTACATATAGAGTGCACGGCAACAATAGATATACAATTATCCTCTGCTAACATGAATGAGTTAAATGATCCATAGTACAGGGCTACATACAGATCATTTAATCCATTCATGTTAGAGGAGAATTGTAAATCTATGGTACTACATAATGAGTACAGACTGCTAATACACTGGAGACCACCGATTTACATATATCCCCTGCTTAATAGTTCCCCCCTTGCCCTCACTCACTGTGCGGGAGAGCAGCGATGAGTCAGCGCTGGTCCGGTGGGAGGAGCTCCAGGTGGGGTCCTAATTTAGCTGGCCCAGAGGTGCCGGCCAGATAAATTAAGATCTCACCTGGAGCTCCTCCCACCGGACTAGCGCTGACCTGCCGCTGCTCTCCGGCGCTGAGCAGAAGAGGAGTGTCGCGTCACTGCTGCTCCGGTTGGCGGCGCTCCGAGTGAGGTAAGGACAAAAAAAAACAATAGCGCAAGCTTCGGCGCTATGTATCGGGGCATTTTGACAAGTACAAGTACTTGTCAAAATGCCCTGTATTGATATCGATGCTAGTACCGGTATCGGGACATCCCTACTGCAAAGGTTTACTGAATGTGTTATTTTTGCCTTGACATACACTTTTTTAAGTAATTATTTAAAATGTGTTTATCATGTTGACAGTCTTGATTTTCCCCTAGGAACTTGACAGGGAACTTCCAGTTATTGAGCCATATTTTGTGCAACATCCAGAGTCTGCAGGCAAGACACAGAATGGGATACGGATCACCTGGTTGGGGCATGCATCTGTCATGGTGGAAATGGATGACTTGATATTTCTTACAGATCCTGTCTTCAGTCAGAGAGCTTCTCCAGTAGGCATTTTAGGTCCAAAGCGTTTTAGAGGGCCACCGTGTACAATAGAACAGCTTCCAAAAATCGATGCTGTTGTGATCAGTCACACACATTATGATCACCTGGATTACAACACTGTACGTGATCTGAATCAGCGGTTTGGCTCTGAACTGAGATGGTTTGTTCCATCAGGGCTCTTAAACTGGATGCAAAGCTGTGGCTGTGAAAATGTAATTGAATTAGACTGGTGGGAGCAAAATTGTGTTCCTGGACACGATGAGGTGACCTTTGTTTTTACCCCCTGCCAACACTGGTGCAAAAGGACACCATTTGATGATAACAAAGTACTATGGGGTAGCTGGTCTGTTCTTGGGCCTTCAAATCGGTTCTTTTTTGCTGGCGACACAGGTTATTGTGCTGCTTTTGAACAGATTGGTAAGAGATTTGGACCGTTTGATGTAGCAGCAATTCCCATTGGAGCCTATGAGCCAAGGTATGGAGTGTTTATTGTGCAACTAAAAAAAATTTCAATGATTTGATTGTAAATAGCATACCTAAATATATAAATGACACATACCTGACATCATTAGTAGAGTAGTGCACTGTAAATAACTGAATTAGTACACATCACAGATTTGGTCAAGCAATTAATATTCTAACTAACATTTTGATCGATTGTATCCCATGGCTTTATTTTACACTTGCTGCATAAATTAGCTCATTGATAGCTTCAGCACTCAGTTGGCTGTTAATACTACAGAGAGTTAATACTCCACATTTTAAACTGGTCCCAATTACAGTTGACATTTATTCTGGCAATTGAAAGACCTCAACTTACTCATACAAGTGACCTTTAGCTCCATCCCTACCAGGCATGAAGCAGAGTAGAATAAAGTGGGCGAATTGGTGACTTAAGCTAACGTTAGCTGGGAGATCATTGAATGGGAGACCTGCTGCCCTGCCCAAAATGGGGAAATGACTCAACATGGTCTGGAACTTCAGATTTGCTGACTGCTGACCATTTATGCATACTGTCACTGCTATTAACACAGCAGAGTCCCCTCTCTTTTTCGTTTTCGTTGATCATTCTAGTAGATCTATTATTTTTCTGCTAACTGGAACAGGCCAAGCTATCCAAAAAATGGGTAGTTCTATTTACAAGAAGCCTTTTGTCCCTTGCTAAATGGTCAGAGCAGCTGTCAACCAACCAGCAATGGGCACTGATTGCAGCCGATTGGATAAATGCACAGGGAAACCAAAGTTCTGCAGATTTGGGTGTTGGTGGTCACCCAATTAGAAAAAAAAAAGGCATCGGGGCAGAAAGAGAGGATCAACAGGTATTTATAAAAATAATAAAAACGCCTTGCACAACTGCATATTAGAAAAAAAAGATATTTACACAACCTTAGAATTTGGGTTTACATTCGCTTTAACTCTGTGGTATCACTTTCTTCAAGAGATGCTCCCAAAGTCCACCAAACTGACTTTCCTTAAAAAAATGTTGTAATATGTTAACTATAGTTTATGAAAAAAATATGGATTTCCTAAATCATCTTTCAGGGAAGCACATGAGCGAGGAGTTAGGCAATTTCTCCAACATTAATAGGAAACGCCTCACCAAAAACACTTTAAATGTTTATTTTTGCCAAGCTGTTACGTTATTGTGTTTTCTGCATCTGGAGAAGACACATTGCATGAAATCTGGGGAAGGATGCTCAGTATTCTTGTCTGCAGTAACCCATCAACCCACCTTTTAATCACCCTCCTTGATTGTGGGTTATCCTCATTCTGGGCTGGAAGAGGTCTGGGCCCACTCCCTTTTCAATGCCCAGGGAAAGCCAGTACTGGGAGGTGATTTAGCCCCTTGGAGGAAAGGCCTGGTCTGGTGTGGTTCCTTTCTGGCAACAGTAAGGAAACCTCCCTATGGGGGATGCGCCAAGCAGAGTTCACTTGACCATGGCCAGGGGAGGTAATGCCACTGGTTGGGAACGGAATCTCCTGGTTCCTGGACTGCAAAGGCGCAGGTTGAAGTGGCCAGGCCTGCTGGTGCCTCTTCTGTCCAAGCCTCCTTGGCTTGGAAGGTGGTATAAATGCTGGAAGACAATTTTGGGAGATCTCCTTCACCTCCGCTGTGATCAACTCGGGGGCAGACTGTATCTCCAGCAGTGACAGGTGCCTGTGGCAGCAGTGTAATTCATGTAAGTTTGTGTGTCCTGTCTCCTTACTGTTTGTTTAGTCTGTGGTTACTACATTTCTTCAAAGGTTACTCTGGGACCTGCCTGTGATATGGAGTAGCTTGCTTGTGGCCCTGGAGGCTGAAAACTTGTACAAAATGAATGAGTTTCTATACGGATTAGCAGTAATTTGGAAAGGTGTAACTTCCCGATGTGACCAAAGTATAATGGTCTACAATGGTATAAGTGTGCTAGGTTTGTACATCACCTTATTTTACCCTGTGACAGAAATAGAGGTATCCAAGGTTGTGTTTTTTTTCCCCACTTTGTTTTTCTTCTTTACTTGTTTTCTTCTTTACTTGTTTTATATCTAATAGTGGATTCTCCGGCAGTGCCACGAGGAGCATGGAGCTGGCTTCCTGGCCAATCAGGAAGCCGGACGGCAGGTCATAACCTGTCGCCCAGTTTCCTGATTGGTCAGGAAGCCAGGCTGCCCCACAGTGTCGCTAGGCAGCTTGAAGCCAGTTTCCTAGCCAATCAGAGAGCCGGGCAGCATGTCATGACCTGGCTTCCTGATTGGTCAGGAAGCCAAGCTGTCTCGTGAGGGATAGTCAAGCTGATGTTTCGATAGAACACCGGCTTCCCAGGCAATCAGGAATGACCCGCCGCCTGACTTCCTTATTAGCTGGGCCCAAGATACCTCGGGATGCCGGTATCCGTATACGGTATCGTCGGCAAGTACCGTTAAAAACAAATCGATATTAAAAAAAAAATGTTTTAAAATAGCAGAGCCACAGGGGGGGCGCAACAGACGCAACAAGGGCACGGGGGCGCAAGAGAGGCAGCGCAGGCACGGGGAGCAGCAGAGAGTCAGTGCGGGCACCAGAGCAATGGAGGCGTGAGGAATGTAGAGGCACAGTGGCTGCCAGACGCGGATACAGGCGGGGAGGAAAAGGGAAACAGACAGCTGCATTCAGTGGCTCCCAGAGAGGAGGAGAGAACGGTGGAGCAGAACAGCAGCAGCAGCAACTAATCGCAGAATCAACTCTATTAGTTGTTGCAGCCCTACAATGAGGGCAGTGTGATGCGTTGGGCAATGTTCTGCTGGGAAACCTTGGCTCCTGCCATTCATGTGGATGTTACTTTGACATGTACCATCTACCTAAACATTGTTGCTGACCTAGCACACCCCTTCATGGAAACAGTATTCCCTGATGGCAGTGGCCTCTTTGAGCAGGATAATGTGCCCTGCCACACTGCAAGAATGGTTTGAGAAACACAGCAACAAGTTTGAGTTGTTGACTTGAAATTCTCCAGATCTCAAGCCAATTGAGCATTTGTGGGATGTGCTGGAAAAACAAGTCTGATCCATCGACCCCACTTCGCAACATACAGGACTTAACCAGTTGCCGTCCACCCGTAGAAAAAAAACGGACGGACGGCTGACTCGCATCGGCGGGTTGCCGTCTCCAGACGGCATTTTTTCCTGCTCGCGCGCGCCCCCTGTGGGCAGGAAAGACTCGTTTGTATTACATCACTTCCGCATTTACCTGTCAGTCATCTGGCTGCTATAGCCAGAGAGAAGAAGCTGATGAAGCAGATCTCTGCTTCATCAGCTTCTTTTGGGGTCCCCAGGTGACATGGGTCCTAGAGACCCCTAATGTCTCCATAAAGAGGACCTGTCAGTGTGCCTTTGCTAATATATAGGGGGATTGTATCCCCCTATGTAATAGAAATAACAATAAGTGTAAAAAAAAATATATATAAATAAAGTTAAAAAAAATAAGTCTCAAATAAAAAAGTAAACCCCCGCCCCCTCTTCATTTACGCACATGTGGATGTAGGCTGCCTCAAATCCTTCTGTCTCCATGTAATCCCAGACAGACTCCATGATGTTGAGATCAGGGCTCTGTGGGCCCCCTGCTACAGCCAAATAATTAAAATTGTGACTCATCAGTCCAGAGCACCGCTGCCATTTTCTGCACCCCAGTTCCTAAGTTTTTGTGCATAGTTGAGTTGCTTAGCCTTGTTTCCATGTCGGAGGTATGGCCTTTTGGCCACAATTCTTCCATGAAGACCACTTCTGGCCAGACTTCTCCGGACAGTAGATGGGTGTACCTGGGCCCCACTGGTTTCCGCCTGTCCGATGTCAAAGGGAAGTAAGCTTAATTTGTGTTTCTTCTGCTGCATTGTTTCCTTGGCCGGCCACTGTGTCTATGGTCCTCAACATTGTCCATTTCTTCAAGCCTCCCACGCAGCCGTTTCAGTTAATGACTGTGTTTCAACCTACATATGAAATTGATGATGATTAGCACCTGCTTGGTATAATTGGTTAATCCTACAAATTCCCTGACTTTGTGCAAGTGTTAAGGTGCCCATACACTGTACAATTATCGTACGATAATCGCAAAGTGTATGGAAGGCGTGCGACCGTTTCTACTGTACGGTCGCACGTCTTCCGTCAAACAAGCAGGCTGGAAAACCCGCCGGGAATTGTACAATTCTCGGCAGGTTAGCGGCCTGCTTGTTCGACAACTGCCGAACGGGCCGGTGTGCGCACACTGCCCGTTCAGCATTCCAGTCATGGGAAGCCCTCCCCTCGGGGGCGGGCTTGCAATGATCGCAAGTACGATCTGCCTGTCAAAGATGAGCAGATCGTACGTTTTTTAAATTACTTTACAACCCTCGCAAGACAGTGTATGGCCACCTTTAGAATTGATCTCAGTTTGAAGCCAAAGGGTAGTCGCACCAAATCTTGAAAACGCAAAGCGCACAGCTCACCCCTATCATGCCTCCCCGCAATCCATACTCTGTGCACAGTTGACTCTCTTCTGGAGTGATAGGCTCCAAAACTGTAGAACCAGCACACGATGATCTTCCAAAGAAATTCAAACTTTATTCCACATGCATCTATACAAAACACAGCGGTCATTCTTTGTATAGATGCAGGTAGAATAGTTTCTTTGGAAGATCATCGTGTGCTGGTTCTACAGTTTTAGACACCAAATATTGATTTCGTTTTATCTTCTGTTCACTCACTTTGCATTTAAAACATACTTTACAACATTTTTTGACACCTGCATAAAACTTTTGCACAGGTGTGTGTGTGTGTGTGTGTGTGTGTGTGTGAGATTGCGATTGCATATGCAGCGTATTGAAGAAAATCATTTATCCTTGTTGAGTTAGTCCTGTGTAAGTTTGTAAAGTTAGACAGAGGTAGTTTGGTGTATTGTGTATACACTCCAGGTGTTTTATGGTGAGACAGATTTTTTTTTTCTGCAGTTTAGGTACGCTGCCCTTGTTTTAGATGACTCTGTAAATACCCGGGACCACTTGTAATATTCATGGTCAGCCCGTTTACTACAGACCCGTTCAGCAGAAGGACTTCCTTCTTAAAGTGTTTTTGGTGATGAGTTTGCCGTTCCTGTTGGAGGAGGTGCATATCTCTCTCATGTGCTGTCCTGAAAGACTCTTGGAAATGGAGTCTAACTCTGGATTTCACTCAGGATGAATAAGATGTATACAGAGTCAAAAATTCTGCAGCTAAATAAAATGTGCGTGAAACACAACCTGTAATACAGTCTTCAAGTGTATTTCCACTTTTGCAGTCAATTTTCTGTAAACCCCTCTGTATGTTATGTGTTCCCATTCACACAGCATAATGAAAAATAATTTTTGTACATAATATATCTTACCCTTTAGACATTTTGTTGCAGCAGGCAACATGGCTGATTTCAGGTTTAGAGTTAACATTTGAATGCAGAAGCCAAGTTTGTAATCCTTCAACCCTATACAGCCCCTCCTACCATTACAAAGGAGAAGTATGTAGACATTTTAAAGGGGAACTATGAGGTGAGTGATTTTCACTCATCCTCATAGTTCTAGCCGACCCGTAACAATGAGACTGTCACAGGTCGGCTCAGTAGATCGGGAAGTGAGCAAACACATACCGCCGCTGACTGGCAGAACGGACGGGGGAGGGGGCGGGTACAGCTGGCTCTGCCTCTAGATAGGCAGAGCCAGCTGTCACTCACGCTAGAGATGTCCACTTCATGAACGAATCGTTCTTTTTGAATCTATTCTATTCACTGAACTGGTGGAGTGGATTCAGCTGAGTAAGCTGATCCGTTTGTAGCAGCTCAGTGTGACGTATAGCAGAGACTCTAGGTAGCAAGTCTGCAACATGATCCTAGAGTGAAAGCCAGGCTTCTGCCAGCTCCTCCCCTCCCAGCCCACCCCTGCAACCAATCACATCTGAGTCACAGTACATGGAGTCTAAGGGCCTGTTCACACGACGTCCGTTTTGTGTGCTGAACTGCTCCGTACGCTGCTGTACTCAAAATGTATCCCTATGTGTTTTATGGGCTCCAGTTCTCATGTGCGCAGTCCGTTCAGCTTACGACAGAAAAAATACTGCATGTCACATTTTGTCAGGTCCGGAAACGGTCAGGATACGCAAACGCATCAAAAACGCACTGCGCTGCAGCTAACATACTAACAGCCCCACTCCAGCAAAAAAAATAAAAACATTTTTTTTTTTGCTGGAACGCATCAAAAACGCGGCCAAAAACGCAATGCATCAGCAGCTCCACGTCTGCTGATCAGGACCTGATCTCATGTGAACAGGCCCTAAGAATCGAATAAGTCTACTATTTAAAATGATCAAATGATTCTACTTCGTTAGTAGACTCATTCGATTCCCTGAGTTAAAGAATCCTTAGTCATCAGAGGAGTTACCGAGTTAAAAGAATTGTGTGTCCCCACCAGTAGAACAATACACTGACTCAATGAGCAGGCTGCAGCAGTGATAAGGGACAGAAAGCCAGGGACAGTCAGCAGGGAGATTTACACATTTACAAAAAAATTAAAAATATATATATTTTTTTTTTAATAAACAATTTTTGGTTAAGTTTTTATTTATTTTATTATTTTTCCATTAACATTTTTTCACTTAAATGTATTAATAGCGTTAGGATCAATGTTCCCCGGGAGCTGCCTGACACCCTTCTCCGAATCAGAGTCCTCTATGAAGGTTCAGACAGCTCCTGAGCTTCGGTTCACTTGCTTGTCAGCCGACTCAGCAAGTGAATCGAAGATTTGATTCATGAATCGGTTCTTTTGAATGAACTGATTCAAATTAACCGATTTCATTTAAAAAATACGAACTTCCCATCTCAAACTCACGCAGCTGGGCGGAACCAGACATAAGTGTCGGAATCCGTTTCAGCTGCGGCGTCTCAGTATATTGCGAGCTGAAGCTCGCAATATACTGAGCTTTGGGTTACTGGAGGACGCTAGTTTGTGTCCTGCCGTTACCCTTAGGAGAACTATGGGGAAAAGCCCTGACTCCATAGTTCTCATTTTAAACTATACGAAGCCAAGAAACCCTAACCTAATTAAGAGCAATTTAAACTAGAAGAAGCATTTTTTTTTTAGATTATGCAGTGTGAATGGGAACATGTAACAAATAAAAATAGGTGTTATCCCAATTTGGCTGTGAACGTGGAACTGCACTTTAAGTATCATGACATTTGTAAGTCATTACGTTTTTTTTTTTTTTATCTGTACAATTCTTTTCAATCTTGGCACCTTCTTGTCTATAGATGGTTTATGAAGTGTCAACATGTGGATCCCGAAGAAGCCGTCAAAATTCACGCTGATATCCATTCCAAGAATTCTGTTGGAATTCACTGGGGAACATTTGCACTAGCTAATGAGGTACTATCATTTTAGCATATAAACAGTTGTTAGTGAACCTGTCATAAGCTTAAAATTGCAGGTAGAAGCACAGAAAAAATGAATAACTGCTTACTACTTCAGGAAGAGCTTATTCTCTAGCACAGCCCACTCCTACTTACACGTCATAGCCCTCTCTTCTGAGAATGTGTAATTACTGTTTGTGCTAGCCTAGCTTCTCCGTCCCTCCCTTTACCGGCTTCTGGGGGAGCTCTGAGGCTGCTGGTATCACATTTAAGAGGGTGGCGCCCAGCAGCAGTCTCGGTGCTTTTGAAAGCCCAAACTAATGGGGGGAGTCCAGTGCCTAAAACGTAAAACCTGCTCCTTTCATGATTGCACAAATCTTCTCTGAATCAGCAAGCAACCCTAAACGATGCTGCAGTACATGTGGGCAGATCTTCCATTAAGTACAATGGGTGATCTGGCCATTGGTGAATGTTGACTGCTCATGCTCTTCTCCCCAAATGGGCCACTGGAGCAGTACAGAACAAACACAGCATAAAGTATTACAGGGTGAGGCGAGCGTCACTCATTCCAGCTCGGGAATATATAAATTTGCTCTAGAAAGCTGCCTTTTGACTGTTGAAACTAAAATATGCACATGCAATATTTTATATTGGTAAAAAATTACTACTTTGTAAAACTCAAAGAGGTTATCTTACTCGTCCAGAGCTCAGTGTAGTTTGAGAAGTGTGCATGGATCCAGCAGGAACTGGCCTTCTACATTTAATCAGTGGAATTGCTTTAATTGAAGTAGGGCTGCAACAACTAATCGACATAATCGATTATAATCGATTATTGAAAAAGTTGTCAACTTTTTCAATAATCGATTAATCGGCTTCCGATCAGTTGGCCCTGTTCACAGCTCCACACGCTGTGCGCCGCACCTCCTCCCTCCCCACCTCATGCTCGCCGCTGCCAGACCCGCTCTAAGTGGTACAATGCTAAATACCACCAGCTATAGAGGACTACAAAACCCAGCAATAGTACATTATACAGCACAATGCAGAATGCCGCCAGCTATAATGTACTATTGCTGGGATTTGTTGTATTCCTCTATAGCTGTCGGTATTCTGCATTGTGCTGTATAATGTGCTTTTGCTGTGGTTTTGGAGTCCTCTATAGCCGTTGCCATTCTGCATGCATTGCTGTATAATTTTACACTTTCCATTTCACTATATTGCACACCACACTATCTTTTTTTCTTTTTTACTTCCACCGGTCCAAGCTTGCTCCTGTGATGGACTACAACCTCAATACAAACTAGTAGTCCTATCACTGGAGCCATTTTTTAAACTTTATTTTATAGTTTATCCGATTAACCGATTAATCGAACTCAATAATCGGCTAACTAATCGATTTTGAAAATAATCTTTAGCTGCAGCTCTAAATTGAAGTTATACATTCCCCTTAAGTTCCGGCTATAAGGGACTATCCCAGCATTTCAAGAGCACTGTGAACATTTAACATTTCATATCGCGCATTGGTTTATGAAATAGGAGTGGTTAGTTGAGGGCTGCTGGATATTTAATGGGAGACTTCTGGCTGATTAAAGGAGAACTATGAGGTGAGTGATTTACACTCATCCTCATAGTTAGAGCTGTCGTGAGACATTGAAACTGTCACACGTCGACTATAGATCGGGAAGTGAGCGAACACATACCGTCGCTCGCTCACTTCCCGATCATCTCCCTGTCAGTCACTGCTTTACGTAGGGATTACCCTCCTCCCCTCTTTGATCCTCCAGCACTGATTGCAGGGGGCGGGCACAGCTGGCTCTGCCTCTAGACAGGCAGAGCCTGCTGTCAATCAGCCAGCTGGGTGGATCTCGACAGTAATGTCAGGATCCGTCACGGCTGGAGTGCTCTCAGCATATACATACTGAGCTTTAGGGTCGCGGAAGGGCATATTAACAACGTCCTCCCGTGACCCAAAGAGAACTATGGACTAAAAAGGTTACCCCATAATTTTCTTTTTAGTAGCTTCTTTTACAAAGTGGTAATTTTTGTGCTATAGTTGGTCTTAAGTTACAAGCTGAAAAAGTTATATTGATGAGTAATTGAAGTAAGACCTCCAGTGATTCTATTTTCTCTCATTTTGACTGAAGTATTTTATCTTACCTGATTAGCCTGAAAGACTAAAGACAATTTACATTGCCTTTAGCCTGTAGCTAATATACCAAAAAGTATTCTTGGTGCAGAATTTTAAAGAATAAAAATTATGCAGATCAACAGTGGCTTTTTCTGTTCTCAGCATTACTTGGAACCACCGATAAAACTGAGAGAAGCCTTGGAACGATGCAGACATAGCCCGGAAGATTTCATCGTTCTGAACCACGGAGACTCCAGACTCTTTACCACAGGAGCCAATTGCGCTCTGAAGGATGGCTGTAGTAAATAATGGCCTGCAGTTGAACCGGTTTCTGGTGTTTTAACTTTCCTACTGACTTGCACCAAAGTTTGTCTACATTTCTATCAGGAATAAAGTATATTCCTAATTCTAATCAAATAATAGGTGTTGCTAATGTATTTTACTTGAATAACACACTGAATTGTGTTTTTGTAAATGACTAAATTTAGAGCAACGTAAGCTGGGATCTGCCAAACATTTTACGTTTGGCCGCGCACATTACCAGCAATGCACATTGCTTGCAAAATGAGACACCTTAACATATTACATTGATGATGGTGCCTTTTTCTTTTTAGCAAGATGGAAGCTAACGCTTCAGTTGTTGAGATGCATGAACTCACATTTTGGCATGCACACCAGCTGCATTTTATCATTTCCATACAACAGCTTACCATGGTGTAATGTGTATGTAATCCATACCGGCTGATACTAACAGAACTGTATATTTTCCACCTTTTGCATACTAAGTCTTAGCTAAGCAGAAATTATGTCAACCTTTTACCCTGCCTTTTACAGACAACCCACTGAATTTACTTTATTAAAATCGATGTTCAGAGTGGAGACACGGACAGGAAATATGAGCAGAGCTGGATTTAATGGTTATTTGCTAAAACATACAGAAACCAAAAGATGGTTAGTGTGGGATCTACGTAGAGTACTACAATACATAGGAATGTAAAATATACCGACTAAACATGGAGCTGTTGTACACCTGGCTTAGCTCAGCTACTCCTCCCACAACTATTACCCAGCCATGGGTGTCCATTTAATGGCATCTACAAATCTACACATCACTTAAAAAATGTCAAAGAACATTATTACAATTATTGCCCATTGGATAGCAGTGAAAAAATGCACCCAATCTTAAGAGATAAAATCATGCAATTATGAAGGTGTTCAGTTCCTATACTATGTCTGGCATGTCCACTGTGACATTTTATGATGAGCTCTTATGCATGCAATAAAATGGATGAGTGAGAGTTGTGGGTGGAACGCATGTGGACCATTTATGTCCATCAATCTTTTATTTTGCAATTTCTGCCTTTTAAAGTGTGCTAAAATGATTAGCTTTTGAGCTATGGCAGAAATTCATGTAAGGTGTAAACACTCCAGTGACTGCTTAGCTGGGTCTGTGTTCCATGGTGCTTTCCGTGTCAGGGTCTACCGTGATTGGTGCTTTTCAGGCACAGACTTTTTAATACCTTTTTTTAAAAATATAAGTAAGAGGTTCATTGTCACTATTAAATCTGTGTTTGCAAATTTTCAAGTGCTCTTATGATCACCTAACTGTAGTGATAGGAAAAAGTATCTGCAGCGTAATGAGCTTGTATACACAGGTAGCTGGAGTGAGCTTCAGCCCTGTCAGAGTTCCTGTGATATAGATAAGGGCAAGGCTAATGAATCTTCTTGATGTTAGTTTTTAATACGGTAATCAGGAGTGGACAAATTAATATGGAATCCAGGAGCCAGCCCCATTGACAGTGTCTAAATGGAACCTCAGAAAGTTAGGTGCCAGTTGTCATTTGTAAGGAATATTGGCCTGCAGTAATAAAATTTTTACATTTTGAATTTTTTAAATTGGTAAATCACTTAAAACATCAGGTGCTGAAAAATATGCATGACCATGCACCTGCCTACTTTGAAGACCTTTTGTAACTTGTGTTGACATGTAAACCCAGGGAGAAAAACTTCACGCTGCTGTCTACCAAATTACAAACTTTATTGCATAAGGCTACCAACTTCTAGCATGAAGGTGTCCCCTGGCTAGAGGCTGCCCACTCTAATGGGTGAAACCCGTAAGGGCTTAATCGTAGAGATATGGTGAAACCCGTCAGAGTGGGCAGCCTCTAGGCGGGGAACTCTGCCATGCTGGAGGTTAGGTAGCCTTATAGATCAAAGTTTCTTTTTGACAGCCTTGTGTGGCTTTTTTTTCTTGGTTTGGCTGTAGTGGAGCATGGATGGCTCCTGGCCTGCACCCATATACCCCCGATGATCGAATCTGGATATTGTACAGAGCGTGATTTTTTTTTTTTGTCATGTTGCGCTAATTTTTACTTCAACTGTTACTCTATGCATTGCCCAAATGTCAACGGAGGCACTGAAAAGAGTGATGATATCGGACATTATTTTTGAATTATGGGAGGCAGAAATCTTCACCAAAAAGAAAAAGCAATTTACAGATGGAAGTCAGGTTTAGATTTCAGCTCTTATCTGTATACTTCTTTTTTTTAACACAAGGCTCCAAGTTCTAATTTGCTTTTATTTTGTTACCCCAAAATTTGTGTTATATGGAATGAATATTTTAGGACTGGGAGCATCAAGAAATTAACCATGGGATTCTAGCCTGGCACCCTACTAATTATTGTTAGAGATGGACAATGTTTAACATAACCTTGATGGTAAAAGGGTGGTGGGCAGGATCAATCAATGACATTATATAGTTTCTTCTTCTACTGATTTGCTTGTCAATAATAATAATAATATCAGTGCATGAATATAGATTAAGCACCTGGAGGTTGGCCAAGTGAATGTGCCTATATTAAAAAGCCAACAGTTCCATAAAGTAACCTCAGCCTTCTACACGAAGTAGGTGCAACCATTTAGATTTCATTTTGTATCATCTGAGTGCAGTATGCTGATATCTGAGGCTCTGGTTTAATGCACTTTGTATATTTTCACAGTGCCTGATTAATTCTGTCCGAGTATGATTTTATTTTAGTAATGGCTTACATATTTTGTGAACCATTAGGCAAATCTACATGGCTATATATTTTATACATAAAATATTTTTTTTGGTCATTTTAAAAATGATATGCTCAGTGCCGACCTAGAAAATGTCATATACCTAACCCCTTGAAAGTCACTTTCTTGTAAATGAAAACCAGGTGTTGTAGCAAGGATTTGTGACCTCCATTCCCTTTCATATATTAGAGCTTGGAGCACTTCCTTATGCTCTTGCATTATGAGAAAGATGCTGAAATATAGACAATATACCAAACGATAACAGCAATCAAATGCTCATTTATTGACAAATGCTGTCTCTCATTAGCAAGCGCTTATAGGGCCACACAGGGTCCCCTTCATCAGGCCCATCACTTGCTAATGAGAAATGTGTTCTGGTGACATCCTCCTATTGTCTACATGTGGCGGCACCATCAGCTGGCATTTCGAGCACCCGTCTTCATATTATGGGAATCCCAGTAAGGGGTGGGGCAAGGCTCCTTTTTCTTAGATGCTGAAATATGAGGCTTTTCCAGTTGTTATGCTCTAATGTCCAATGCCCATATGCAAGAGATAGGGGTTTTGAGAACATACTAAATCGAGTAACAGATTTTTCCCATCCCTTTCTACAACAAAACACATGTAGCTAGTTATTACTATTATAAATCGAATGTGTCAATGTTTCATGATAAGTGTAAACCGAGCAAGTACAGAACTCTGACAGAATGATTGACTTATGTAAGTTTTGAATTATTAAAACCAAAATAAAATGATTTAGTCTGACGCATATTTATTTGAGAACTAGTTTGTGCAGATTCCTCACTGAGTTGATGTACTCCAATTTTGTGGTCCTATCCCAAACACTACATGAAGAGGATGCCTTACTATCGAAGCAGGCCTTCACATTACCTTCCTTACTGAGATGATGCAGTGATCAATGGCTTCATGAGGCACCACATTTTCAGTGTAAAACTCATACAGCCACTTTATCCCATGTTATTGAGTAGTATAGCTGCTTATTAGTAGTAGTTGTTACCTCCTTGCCAGCATATTGATTTCAGTACATTGCTAATGATGTGAAGATTACCAGCAAGGCGGTAGATGCTATCGGCTAAAGCCTCCTTCGCTTTTAAGGCCTTCTGAGCATATTTAGAGCCACATTTAGGTTTTCATGTTCTCCCTGTGCTTGCGTGAGTTTCCTCCAGGTACTCCAGTTCCTTTCATACTCCAAAGACCTGCTGGAAGATGTCTGGAGTGATGAAAGCATTGCAAATGGATCTTAAATGCATGTTCAATCCTTAAAATGTTATGCCTTGATAGCAATGGGTGTGGAATTACTCAGCCTGTCGAATCAGACAAGCTATGTTGATTTAAAAGAAAAAACACCAATGTAACATCCCCAAACATGCGTTATAATTGTTATATTCACAGGGGCATACCCAAACCAGAAATATGCTTACATATTTACAAAATAAATAAATACTCTGGAAGATTATATAGCAGGTTTATCTCTTAATTCCATTTTTGAGGGGATACAAGTCTAGCCGCAAGTTCTTTGATGTCTTTATCTGGATATTGTAATAATGCTACCAGATTTTCCTGGAACACTGTCTGGTCTCTGAAGAGAAGGGAATATAATGAGTAATCTTCATAATGACAGTATCCATTACTATGCTGTTGTCTGTCCAAGTTCTCTGAAAGATTTGCTGCAAATGTCAGAGCTCTGATAAGAATGTCCCTTTTAGTGTTGCTGCCAAAGAGATTGGTCAGTGATGATGGTACCTGTAAAAACAGACACGAGCTTAGACATGTGCTTCAAACACTACACATCCATACACACAACACAGAGAAATCCATCTCTCCACTCCTCGGCTCACCCCTTCTATCTCCTCAAGCAACACTAATTTATTAACTGGCATATCAGTATGAATGTCACACCACTTCCTCAAAACTCAATCTTTCAAAAACTGAGCTCATAGTATTCCTATAGGTGGTCAGACCTTCTAGGGATCTTACAGTTTAATACTCAACTCCTATACAAGGAAAGTGTATGGTTGCTATAGGCTAAACACTCAGATTAATACAGAAGCAGAAGTGACTGAATGTTGGGAGCAACAGAGATGCTTCTTGCATAGTACTGTATATATTGGTCATTATTTGTAGAAGGCAAAGCTCTTCATATGCCACCATGTATTACCCACAGTTTCATAGAACATCCAAGTAATCATTAACTGGTAACTTTTGCCGTCACTCCAAGATTCCTCTCACATAAATGGTTTTTCTTCATTTCTCATCCAATAATGGACACAGGAAGTCTTTAACCTTAAGCAGTCTGCTGCTTACAAGAGCATTGGACACTGGCTAACAAAAAAACTGCAAACTAGCCCTCCCACTAACAGCATGCCTCCATTTTTTTTTGGTGTGCTAGGAGGGTGGAAATTTTTTCTACAGCTCTGCCATAACTTATTTTTTTGCTAGCACAATTGTACTTTGATATTTTTCTTTCCTTAAGACTCTTTTCTCATTGCTGCTGGAGCTTTGTCTCTTCGATTGCAGCTTACTGGGGTGGATGTCCTCAGCCTGGCTTTTGGAGTACTGCGTCTGGATCCCGTTGGAATAGCCTGGAACTTTTGAGCACTGGGCTCTGTGTAGGGTGCTTTTCAGAGTTCTGGTAAACGTTTTCTACACTTTGACTAATGTGCTGGACTGCAGAACCCTTGTATAAAAAGCTTTAGAGGGATAGCCTCTATTCGGAGCAGCTCTGGACAACTTCATCAAGGATGCTACTGGTGGCAAGAGAACCCATCTTACTCAAAGGAAAAAGAGCAAGAACAGACTGAATCAGCAATTCCTTCACTTTGCCATTGAGCCACTCTTATTACCAGTTCTTATCCCTGCCCTACAGACTCTTATCTGCACCTCAGGTATTCACCAAGACGCTGGCTTATATACTAGTCCTGTGCACCTGGCTGTCCTATTGATTTGGGCCATTACTTGAGGGGTCTTGAAGTTTACAAAAGCCAATACCACTGTTTAAAGTTGCAGTTCAACGTTACAAGAATAATCAAATCCTATGAGTTTCAAGATCTATTTTTCTGTACTTAGCTAACTTGGCAATAAAACTAATGCAGACACCACATAAAGGACTGGCAAGCTTGAATATATGACATTTCTGTTCTTGGGTTCAGATACTTTACCAGTGGATCAGCTCCTATAATCATAATCCTTAGCTTACCACTATTCACAAACATGGCAAACATTGACATTTTACCTTGCTAGATAAGAGAATTGTGGTCATTGAAGGGTTTGCTGATAAATTCACAAGAACCTTCACAGTATGAATCTGGAGAAAGAGGAAGACAGCTGTAGAACTGTATGTAATAATAGAATATCCTTATATGCTATATAAAGTATGTAATGCTGCTAAAGCGTCACTTCACTACTCAATGGGGACATCTGTTAGAAAAGGAACACAACCACTACTTTTTATACTTTATAGTTCTAGGGCTGTAGAGTAAATAATGACACTAGAATAATATGTAAGTTTAGTAGGTTGTAAATGCATTACATTGATTCATATAGCTACAGTACTAGAACTGTGACTGGGAAGCTGTGATGTTTTATCATTAAAACCTATGTTGTGGCGGTGCCGCATTAGAATCTAAAATAACATGGTCAAATTGTGATAGGGCTTTCCAATAAGGAAGCATTGCAGACTGAGAATGATAGCTCCTCTATAACAGCATTTGGCTACAGTAGTGCAACTGTATAATGACACCAATATGTTACTTCATTCATGTTTGTATATCACAGGTCCTGGGTAATGAATGTGCAGGTCAAAAGACCTCTGACATCTATCTGCCCAGTGTTCTTTGCTTTATTACTTGAAAGGCAATGAAAACTTAAAACACATACTGTAGACTGTACAAGTGTAAACCACTACTACAAGGAAACCGCATTTTCATATATATGTGTGTTTTATGTGATCCAAAACCAGACTGTTAATGTTACATACCTGGGTAGTTTCATCTCCATCCACCAGGATACTGAAAAAGTAGGGGATGTAATCTGCCAGGTAGTCATGATAGTTATCGGTGACTGACATATTAATTGCTAGTCTTAAACCAGCCTGCTGGACTTCAGAATTCAATGACGATGATGTAATATCATTGCAAACATCACGGAGGAAGTCCTGGAAGAATAAAGCAACATTTCTTACCAATTCTAAGCAAGAATGACATTTTAATAAATCCATGTTCCCCGCCTTGTTCAACATCTCCTATGCTATTTCAGCAATTACTTGTTACTAGGAGCAGTCCCCTGCTACTATGGGGTTAGCCTTGTTAGTAAATAGATGGGCACTAGGAAAAACACTAAAGGCCAAATGTGGGTGATTTAGTAAAGAGTATATTCTGTTCACATTAATGTGTGTTGTGGTAGTGTAAGCCTTGCAATGCACTTTATTCTGAACAGGCCCCAGCATGGAAGAATTCACTTCTCTATATTTTACAACATACAGCAAAGCATATTGTGTTTTGTGGTGAGCTGCAGTGTGCTATACGCATACAGCAAAGCATATTGTGTTTTGTGGTGATCTGCAGTGTGCTATACACATACAGCAAGGCATATTGTGTGTTGTGGTGAGTTGCAGTGTGCTATACACATACAGCAAGGCATATTGTGTGCTGTGGTGAGCTGCAGTGTGCTATACACATACAGCAAGGCATATTGTGTGCTGTGGTGAGCTGCAGTGTGCTATACACATACAGCAAAGCATATTGTGTTTTGTGGTGAGCTGCAGTGTGCTATACACATACAGCAAGGCATATTGTGTGTTGTGGTGAGCTGCAGTGTGCTATACACATACAGCAAGGCATATTGTGTGTTGTGGTGAGCTGCAGTGTGCTATTCACATACAGCAAGGCATATTGTGTGTTGTGGTGAGCTGCAGTGTGCTATTCACATACAGTGTGATATACACACAGCAAGGCATACTATGTGTTGTGGTGAGCTGCAGTGTGATATACACACACAGCAAGGCATACTATGTGTTGTGGTGAGCTGCAGTGTGATATACACACACAGCAAGGCATACTATGTGTTGTGGTGAGCTGCAGTGTGCTATAAACATACACCAAGGCATAGAGGACGAAATTCTAACAGCGTATGGCCAACTTTACTCAAGGCATACTATGTGTTGTGGTGAGCTGCAGTGTGCTATAAACATACACCAAGGCATACTCTTGTGTTGCGGTGAGCTACTTTCTATAGAGGACGAAATTCTAACAGCGTATGGCCAACTTTATTGACCAGGAAAAAAATATGCAATGAGGTTTCCTCTAGTTGTTGTCAATGGAGCTGGCTCCTCAATTCCATATTTATTTGTCCACGCCTGTTCTATATATTGAACAAAATGATAGGTACAGTAGCAAAGGGTTACATACAGAACAGGCCTGTATGGACTATTCTAAAAGGTGGCCATACACTTTACAACCCTTGCAAGACTTTTGTCTTGCGAGGGTTGTAAAGTAATTAAAAAAACGTACGATCTGCCTATCTTGGACAGGCAGATCGTAATTGTGATCATCGCAAGCCCGCCCCACTGAGGGGCGGGCTTCCGATGACCGCAATGAGGGGTGGGCTTCTAATGACTGCAAAAGGGGCAGTGTGCGCACACCGGCCCGTTCGGCAGTTGTCCAACAAGCAGGCCACTAACTCGCCAAGAATCGTACGATTCCCGGCGAGTTTTCCAGCCTGCTTGTTCGACGGAAGACGTGCGACCGTACAGTAGAAAACGGTCGCACGTCTTCCATACACTTTGCGATTACCGTACGATCGTGGGATTTCCCACGATTCTCGTACGATAATCGTACAGTGCATGGGCACCTTTATGGAGATAAAGCAAAGAGACACACTAAGAACTAAAGCATAGTAGCGGATCAAGTCCAGCCCTTTGAGCAAGCTTGCAAAGCCAAATGTAGTACAGGATCAAAGGTCACAGCAAGATCAAAGCAGGTAAAAAAGCCATCCTAATACACAAGGCAAAGTTGAACCCATGAGCCAAATAAACAGTACCACAGCCAACCAAACTCCAGGATCTGCTGCCATTTAAAAAGAGATGTCAGTCAATCAAAGCACACATCCCAATGTTCATTTTACTGTGCTGCACAGTATAATGTGCCTGAGAGCATAAACAGTCCGTTGGTGTACATGCCTGGACAAATGAGGAGCAGAAGGCCCAGAGAAGGCTGCAAATCAGCATGAAGAGCAATGGGGTAGCAGAGCAAGCCACAGAGGGCTGAGCAGAAAGATGTACTATCTGACTGAGCCTCATGAAGATGACCATCTCGCAGAGAAGTGTAGGAGGCCCGACTGGACGAATCTATAGCACTTATATTATTAAAACTTGGATAACCAAAATTAGCTCTATGATTTAAGCAATGAGGACAATTTGGAAAAAAAGGAATGTCTGAATAAAAACCATAAACACGATTATTAATGGGAAGCTTTACACTTCAGTAGGTCACCTTTATCTGTTGCTGATTTTGCAAGTTCATACTTAAATTGTTCAGAGCATTCAACGCTTTTGCCTTTATTTTTGGACTTGGATGTGAAAGGAATCTGCTGATTGTCTTAATGCCATCCAAATTACGAATGATATCCTAAATAAAACAAAAATAGAGTAAAAACATTAAAACATTTATTTTATAAAGAACATTATTTATTTGAAGCTGATCTCCAAGCTGTATGTCACATTAACCCTAAGCCTCTCTCCCTCTATAGTGTTGTGTGTGTGGCGACAGGGGGAGCAGAGAACTTCCCTGTCATTGCCACGATCCACACGCACAGCATCACTGTAAAAGTAATAACAGACACATCTTGGCACAGTTCCCCACTGCAAAATTGTTGGGGTCTCCAAACCAGTCCCGATTAAATTTCACTGCTCCACAATCTGTCCCAGGGGGTTGAAGAGGCTTGGAACTGATGGGCCGCTAAGTGCAACAACAACAGTCTGGCTCAATCAAAGTTGGGACACCGGGCCGCAGTGGTGCTGGGCGGGGACATGAAAGGCTAAGTTTGCCTGCCTGAATAAAGAGCGCTTATCTCACACAGTGCTTATGTTCTAGGTGTTGAGGAGACCAGTCACCCCACCCAGTACACTTACTGGGTAGACAGGGTTTACAGGAAGTTGCCTCACTGAATTGAGGTGAAGTCTGCATTACAGGGATTATTGTAGTTTACTGGGACAAGGGCAAGATGCTAAAAAAGAGTGGGGGATTGGTGCCATGTAAGGTAAGAGCTGCATTACAGTACATTTTTATATTTGCCTGGAGATGAGCTTTAATTTGAATACATTGATATATAGTATGAAAATAATTAACTATAACACACAAGGAGAGATGTACTCCTACAGTAGTCTACACTGTTTTCTACTGGGCTGCTTATATTGTCAAGGCTATGAGTCAACCAAATGGTCAGTCAAAGAGATATGGCAACAGCCTAAAAGGTTTACTCACTATTAGTAACATGTTCTCCTTCATTTTTCCAAACTGCACCTTTAACTTTTAAAATGATGTTGTGTTTGCATATGGATTGAGCAATGAACCATAGTACTTGCCATCACAAGGACTAGTGCTTGATAATATCCACATTTTATTCTCCATTCTAAACCTAATGGTACTGAATGCAGGATACATCCATAGGTAGAGGTCAGGGCCCTTCTGTGCATGCTATTTATGTGCAACAGAACCACATAAATATTTTACATTTGAACTTAAAACTAGGGATGCACCGATACAGTATTTCGGTACCAAGTACAAATATTTTCTTTTCGCGACTCGCTGATACCGAGTACCGGAAGTCCCATTCAGGAACCCAGGCGGCGTGTTATGACTCGCCATCTGGCTTCCTGATTAGCCGGGAAGACGGGCATGATTGGAGCCGGCTTCCTGGTCAATCATGGAAGCCGGGCATCGTGTAATGACGCGGCACCCGGCTTCCCAATTGGCCGGGAAGCCGGCTCCATGCTCCCTCGTCAAGAGATGAGGAGGGAGCATAAAGCCGGCTTCCCGGCCAATCAGAAAGCCGGGCGCTGCGTCATTACACGCTGCCCGGCTTCCTGATTGGGAGCATGGAGCTGGCTTCCCAGCCAATCAGGAAGCCGGGCAGCGTGTACTGACACGCTGCCTGGCTTCCTGAAACAGGAAGCATCGGACCAGACATCGGAGCATTTGGGCGAGCGAGTATCGGCACATCCCTACTTAAAACAAACAGTACAAGACCAGTACAATAGCACAAAGCACAGCCTAGTTCTAACCCTCTCCCTTCCATTCTGAAGTCTACTGCAACAGCTTATATCAAGCCAGATTCATACTTAAATTAGCTGATACGCTTAAAGCAGACCCCTCCCCCTTCAACTTGTCATTTCTTATTAGTATTATTAAACTGTCCTTTGCCAATATATTCAAATGTTCTACATCCCTTGCCTCTTACCTTCCTAACATTGTTGATTCCATGGCTCTGTGCACTATGCATTAAGGAAGCCTGCGCTGTCATTCTTTTTCACATCATGGATGGCCAGCTTGCTCTTCCTGTTTCTCCGGGCTGACGACCATGCCAGATCTTGCATACGCACTTCACAAGATCTGGCTTTGCTAAGATTGTTTACACATTGCCATAGTTTTAGCTATGTGAATGTTCTTACACCACACGCGCCGTGCCACAGCTCCTATGGCATAACCGTGAGACCTGGAGCTATTGCATGCAGTTTGACAGAAATATTGATGTTCCTGAGATCCTGAAGTGCCTGGAAGGCACTGGTGACATAGCCTGTTCAGTAGGCAGCTGGAAAGCACTGGCCACATCACCACTGCCTCAGGAAAGATGGAAGGAACAAGGCAGGAAGATAATTTTACGGGAAATGCTTAAAAGAGAACTATGGGGCGAGTGTTTTTCCCCATAGTTCTCTTTAGGGTCACGGGAGGACATATACTAACCTCCTCCCGTGACCCAAAGCTGTTGTGATCCACTCAGCGGCGTGAATGACAGCTGGATCTGCCTATCTAGAGGCAGAACCACCTGTGCCCACCCCCTCCCCCATTCGTTCCTCCACTCAGTGCTGGAGGATTGGAGAGGGGGTATCAATGCGGGGAGTGATGACTGACAGTCACCGCTCTCTGCAGGGAGACGATTGGGAAGTGAGCGGATCGGTGCATGTTTCTGCTCACTTCTAGATCAATAGAGCCGACCTGTGACAGCTTCTTTGTCACAGGTCGGCTCTAACTATGAGGATGAGTGGAAATCACTGACCTCTTCGTTCTCCTTTAATTTTACATCACCAGTGTGCAGTGCTTTAAAGCGCAATGCTGCTATGTTGTTTTCAATATTAGGATGACATTGTGTTCAATATTAGGAGGTCCGCTTTATTAATTAAAAGTTGCAATAAATGGTGTTATTTTTTGGAGTTCCGGCCTTACAATTGGGGATCTAATCATTCAGAACCAAACAATTAAAACCCTATTCACATGACATGCACCCCTGCTGTTCAGTGCAGCCTTATGAGGTAGTGATAGCAAGCACTGGGTTACCTTTTATTTCCAGATAAAACTACTAACATGAAATATAAATTCCAATCTTGCCATTTACTTGCAATGTGTTCCATACCAAAACTAATAGTGTACTATGTGTAATTACCTGTCCACGAATGGTCATGTGAGCTGCTAATACTCTGGTCATGAAGTCACCAGGATACTTTACAACAGATTAGAGAACCTCCTGGACTTACATGATTAGCTGAGAAAGCTGCACTGTTACAGAGTGTAACTAAGACCTGCTCTTGAACTGAAGGATCAATATCATCGCTTGCCAGCATTTCAAGCAGTGCTTTCAGATGGCGTGGTTCCAGGTTACTTGCTGATGTAGGGATGTGTTCCATCTGGACTGTAAAAAAGAAAAAGTGCACAGGTAAAAAAAAAACACTTTATATACATTATCCAATGTGCAGAAGAAGCTCGCCGCTCCATTCCAGACCTGATCTGAAGCTCTATGTGAGGCACGTTAGGAGTGCATCCTTCTAATCACAGTGGCTTAGTGGTTACCACTTCTGCCTTGCAGCACTGGGGGTCCCCTGTTCAAATCCCAGCCAGATCATTATCTGGAAGGAGTTCTCCCTGTGCTTGCATGGGTTTCTTCCAGGTACACCGGTGTCCTCCCACACTCCAAAGACTGCCGATAGGTTAATTGGCTCCTGTCTAAATTGTCCCTGTATGTATGCATGTGAGATGGTTACCTTCGATTGTAAGCTCCACATCAGGGCAGGGACTGATGTAAATGTTGGCCCCTTGACGGCCGCGGGCAGCGGCCGTTTTTGAAGGCAGCAGAGAGGCCCAGGGGGCAATTGCCACCCTGCCCCCCGGCCCAGTCCGCCCCTGATGTGCACTATGTATAACGCTGCATAAAAATTGTCAGCGCTATATAAAAAATGACATCTAATTACCTCTGAGCCCACCTAGGTTTTTGCAGACCTAAAACGTAACAGATCAGAGGTAAAGGGATGCTTACATCCACCTGCCCATAGACCTAACATAGGTCCTTTTTCTTCCATCACAAGATGCATAAATAGACGCACATTCATTTATATCTGCCTGTCCATAGACCTCCAAAGTGAGGGAAATCCCTGGTGGTCAGCAGAACTAGTGTCCCAATTGGAAGATTTATAATCTAATCCTGTTTTGAATTTTCTTTCACATTCACTTTGGGTAATAGTGGTCACCAGGACAAATAGAGAGGGTGAATCTCCCTAGTGGGGACACAGACAGCAATAAAAACCTGACAGGTGTTCTTATCCCTCTCCACTCTATCCAGCACTAAAAAGAAATGTTTTGGCTTCAGTTGCACTTTGTGATCGGTTCCCACCATAGGCACTGTACCCATGCATTCAGCGCACACCATCACACAGCACTGCACCCTAGCATGCTGCATTGCCATTTATTCACAAGGCACCCCTAGACACCTCCTGGTAGGCGTGTGTTGAAGCACACAATACCGCAAAGAAAATGCACACACTACGTTTTTTTCACTGCAATGCACAGTATAGCGGTACTGAGTGTTGCACTGCAATGCACATTCGCCGGGAGGTGCGTTGGGCTGCCATTCAAATGAATGACAACATAATGCCATTACATTGCACCTAGTGTGTTGTTCTTTGAGTTCTGATAGCATGCCATAAAGGTGCGGCTACAGAGTCGGCCTTTGAAAAAGAACTCTAGGCAAATTACAAATTAACCCTTGCAGTGGGGCTACCACCCCACTGCAAGGGTTAACCATTTATTTTGGTCTAGGGTCTAAAATAAAAAAAGATATACCTACTTCGACTGGCTGTTAGACCGGTCGCCGCAGCCTCTTCTCCACCGACTCAAAACCCTGCTGACGTTTTCATGTTTATTGACTTGCATTGGACGTGAGGACACGCAGGGACATTCCACAACCAGAGCAGAGGAATGAGAGCCGAGTGGCCGTTGCCACAGGATTGAGGACCGGGCAAGTATCTTTTTTATTTCAGCCTCTAGACCAAAACCCCTGCAGGGGTACGTTTGTAATTTGCACAGAGTTCTTCTTTAAGATTTTAAAAACTAGCGAATGAAAGCAATATTTTGTGGCCAAGTGCAGCAAATATTCTAGCCAATAGAATCAGTTTACACCCATAGGCCTCTATACGCCGTACGTATGTAACTACACAGCAAAACGCACATTCTGCATGCTGGAATTTTTGCCAGCTTCTGAATTAGGCCTATTGAAGAGTATTTTAATACACATGTCTCCATGAGCCTAAGCCACTATTCACTGCAGAGCATAGCGGGAACATGCAGGAGAAAAAAAATGTGGCACACGTCACACAGTTTGTGACGTACTAATTTCCTGCGTTTATGCGGAAATAAATCCCAGGCACGATCCCAGGGACCCATCGAACTCAATGGTAATGCACGTTCCCACTATGCTCAGATGTGAATGACGGTTAACTGGTAAGTCAGGGGTGGGCAAACTACAAATCCCATGATACATCTGTCTTTGAGAATCATGCCTGTGGCTGAGAACATTTGCAATGCCTCATGGGATTTGTAGTTTCACAAACGTTTGCCCACCCCACGTTTTGTGCGCGTTCACGAGATGCCCATGGATGAACAGGAACATTGAATCCAATGAGATGCAGAGGAGATGAAAGCTCCAACATGATGCAATCACGTGAACAAATACTAAGCACCCTTCCCCCAGCACATGGCCATGTAACAAGCTATGATCCAGCAGACATGAGAACTATCTGTCGTAGTTGATCATGAATGAACACACAGTACCTGCACCTCTTGAAAGAACTCTCTCTACTACAGGCATGTTTGACACTTTCTCCAGTAAACGTCCCCTTGTCACGTGCTCCTTCTTCTTCCTGCCTTTAGCGGCTATGGCTGTGTAAGCACAATAACACAGCCCAGCCCCCACAGCCAGCCCTAGGAGGCCCCTCGGTATTCTCCCAGCCGGTAGCACTCTGCGTTCCATCTCTATAGCCAGCTTCAACGGAATACGGTGTAGTGATCACCAGCCGGAGGGGGCGTGTCCGTATAGCATAGAGAGAATGTGGGGAGTGGTCGCCGAGTAGGAGGAGGCGGGAACTTTCTGATGGGGCTGTTGCTAGGAGACAGGCAGAGGGGACGCTATTCCCCACAGTGGGGCAGAGACTTGCCGGACTCCACACTTGTACCATGGCATCTCTGCGGAACGCAGATGGCCAGCTCAGGAACTACTTCAAGCAGCATAGCCTGCCCCAGATCTACGAGGTAACCTGTGTCTGAAATCACTGCACCGCCACTAACTTTCATCCGGGGACAGCAGATCTGACAGTAGGAAGTAGCAGACAATTGGGATGTAGCCTGCAAGAGTTGGGGTATTAGTGGCAGGGGCTGGTGTTTAAGAGGGTCAATGAGAATTATGGGCCAATAAAAAACAAACTTACATACTCACCTCCATGCTGCAGCATCTGTGTGACACCATGTCAGTTACAAAGCGGCATTCACACAGGGCATTCTGGGATTTCTCTGGCAAGAACCTGCGGATTCCCAGGTGTCACCATTCAGATGCAGCCCATGTAGCCATTCAAGTTAATGACAGGGTGACAGCAAATCTGTAAGTGGCAGTCCGCATGTAATCATACATGGTTCAATAACATGTGGTTATGAATAGATTATTGTCCCCAGACACATCTATCATGCATCCAGGGACAATCATCTATCCTAAACTGCATGTAGTCGTATCATGTACCATGTATAATTGTCCCCAGATGCATCTAGCCTGCGTTCAGGGACAATCATCTATCCTGAACTGTGTCATTGTATCATGTACGATGTGTGATTGTCCCTGGATGCATCTATCCTGCGTCCAGAGGCAATCATCTATACTGAACTGCATGTCATTGTATCATGTATGATTGTCCCTAGACACATCTAGCCTGCGTTCAGGGACAATCATCTATCCTGAACTGTGTCATTGTATCATGTACGATGTGTGATTGTCCCTGGATGCATCTATCCTGCGTCCAGGGGCAATCATCTATCCTGAACTGCATGTCATTGTATAATGTACCATGTATGATTGTCCCTAGACACATCTAGCCTGCGTTCAGGGACAATCATCTATCCTGAACTGTGTCATTGTATCATGTACGATGTGTGATTGTCCCTGGATGCATCTATCCTGCGTCCGGGGCAATCACCTATCCTGAACTGCATGTCATGGTATCATGTACGATGTATAATTGACCCCGGACAGATTTATCTTGCGTCCACAGACAATCATCTATTCTGAACTGCATGTAACCGTACCATGTACGATGTATGATTGTCCCTGGATGCATCTATCCTGCGTCAATGGACAATCATCTATTCTGAACTGCATGTAACCGTACCATGTATGATGTTTGATTGTCCCTAGATGCATCTATCCTGCGTCCAAGGACAATCATCTATCCCAAACCAATGTAATCTTACCAAGTACAATGTGTAATTGTCCCTGGATGCATCTATTCTGCGTCCATGGCCAATCATCTATTCTGAACTGCATGTAACTGTAACATGTACAATGTATGATTGTCCTTAGATGCATCTATCCTGCGACCATGGACAATCATCTATTCTGGACTGCATGTATTCGTATCATGTACGATTGGACCTGGACAGATTTATCCTGCATCCAGGGACAATTATCAAACCTGCGACCAGGGACAATCATCTATTCTGAACCGCGTGTAATTGTATTATGTATGATGTATCATTGTCCCATGGATGTATCTATCCTGCGTCCAGGGACAAGCATTTATCCTGCGTGCAGAACAATCATCTATCCCAAACCGCATGTAACCGTACCATTTATGATGTATGATTCTCCCTGGATGCATCTATCCTACATCCAGAAGACAACCTATATATTGAGAGCGCTACTACTGATAGAATGAATGGTTGAAGCAACACTTACATTTGAGAAGTCCTTGTAAATTCTCTGGAGGAGATGGGATGGGATCCTTGGGGAGGTGGGGCCCGGTGAAATCCAGTGTACAGGACGGCTGAGGGGATGTTATGTGGAGCAGGAGCAGCTGTCTCGCGGCGAGGCTCAGCTGGCCAGGCTGAGCCACAGAGGGCAGGAAAGCTTAATGGAGGGCTGTGGTGTGGCGCGTGTTGTCAGCGGTCGTCTCCCAGTCAGAAGTGGTAGGAGACGTGACAGTACTGGAGATGAGGGAATGCTCTCCAAGTGTCACAGTGAAGGGCTGCAAGAACCGTTGTCGGTGGTGTGTAGGGGATGGTCCCCTACACACCACCGACCATCCCCTACACACCACCGACAACCTCTCCCTGTTTATACAGAGCTTGCACACTGCACTCCCAGCCCTAATTTGACCCCCCACTGCCAGCTTGGACTTTTCGGTTGTGCGCTTTTTTTGTTCTTTTTCTTTGCTTATCCTACATCCAGGGCAATCAATCATCTATCCAGCATCCAGGAACAATCATCTATACTGCGCCCAGGAATAATAATCTAACCTGCATCCAGGAACAATCATCTATACTGAGCCCAGGAATAATCATCTAACCTGCGTCCAGGAACAATCATATATCCTGCATCCAGGGACAATTATCTATCCTGTGTCCAGGAACAATCATCTATCCTGCATCCAGGAACAATCATCTATCCTGCATCCAGGAACAATCATCTATCTTGTGTTCAGGAACAATCATCTGTACTGCGTCCAGGAACAATCCTATATCCTGCATCCAAGAACAATTATCTATCCTGTGTCCAGGAACAATCATCTATCTTGTGTCCAGGGACAATCATCTATCCTGCGTCCAGGAACAATCATCTACACTGCGTCCAGAAACAATAATCTATCCTGCGTCCCGATACAATCATCTATCCTGCATCCAGGAGCAATCATTTATCCTGCGTCCAGGAACAATCATCTATCTTGTGTCCGGGGACGATCATCTATCCTGCGTCCAGGGACAATCATCTATCCTGCGTCCAGGGACAATCATCTATCCTGGGTCCAAGAACAATCATCTATCCTGCGTCCAGGAACAATCATCTATTCTGCGTCCAGGAACAATCATCTATCCTGCGTCCAGGAACAATCACCTATGCCAAACTGCATGTAATCACACCATGTACAATTACATGCAGACTGCCACTGACAGATGCGGCTGCTCTTACCCTGCCATTAACTTGAGCGGGAATAGCAGCCGCATCTGAATAAGGACACCCAGCATTCCTGCTGCCGGATTCCATAGGTTCTTACTGCAGGAATCCAAAAATGCAGCATCAGAAGTCCCCATGTGAATGGAGCCTAACACTGAGTGCTGAGCAATCACATGACCATTGTTCTGTCAGCCACTGAACCCTGCCCAGCTCCATTGGAGCAACAGCCTGGGGAGGGGCGGGATCAGCTGGAATGGGCTATAAGCTGAGCACTAAGAGGCAGAGCCAGCTGTCAATCAAGCAGCCTGGGGGATCCTGGTAATATTGCCAGGATCCTTCCCGAACATAATGCAGCTCTGCCCATTACTAAATGTACCCCTGTGAGCAAAAAGAGAAAAGCAATCAAAAAAAAGTTTGACCATACTTCTCTTTGAGAAGAATAACCCTCCATATGCCTTTCCTACCACACAGCTGACGTAATCTTTGATCAGTCATCATCCAGGGCCAGCTGCTAATTCCTAGACGAAAATAGCTCACCTACATGACACTATTGTGTAAATATTGGTGCCATGAACAGTGAAAATGATGTCTGAGGTTTACTGGAACATAGCTGTTTTCTTAAAGTGTATCTAAACCCCCCCAAAAAAGAATGTGATATATTACAGCTTACATGTCCATGGAAATACAGGCTGCATTCATTTTTTTCCCAGTGTTTCTTTCTATTGTATCTGGTCGTTCTGCCATTAACACACATCCTGTCCTAGGGTGACAACGCTCACACACTGTACTGTATGGAGGAGCAGTGTTGTCACTATAGGCTGCTTTCCTGATATGTACCTCAAACCCCTCCCCTTCTCATCTCCATTACATAGAGGGACATTGCTTTGTAATTCACAGAAGATAGCTGAGGAAGCTGATAACATTGTTTGAACTCCAGGCATAAGAACTTTTACTTAAAGTGACTTTAAAGTCACAAATCCCCCCCAATGCTGCTTTAAGGACTTACCTTAACCACCCTGGTGGTCTGATTATCAGGTTTAAAAAAAAAAGTCTTCTATTTTGAACCTTTAAATTTCCCACCAGTTCCGCCCCCTGCAACACGGGTGCTCGCAAGGGACGGAACACGGAAGACGGATGCCGGCATCGGCCGCAGGACACAGCGGGGCTCGTGGACAAGGTAAGTGCCGCACAGTGTTATCCCGAGTGTGGCTCGGGGTTACCGCTTTTGGTACTGAAAATTAACCCCGAGCCACACCCGGGATTACCACCAGGAAGGCTAAATGATGCTTGATCCGATCTTCTTCCTTCCACTTGTATTCAGCAAACCCTCCAGCACTGGTGCCGGTCTCTGATCCAGCGCAGACTCCGCGTGTCCCACGGTGTCTGTCTGACGTGCATGCTCACGGCTGCATTCATTCAGCTCCACTGTGTCTCTCACCGCCGAAGATCTCTACAGTGCATGTGCCGACCACCTCTCGAGCGGCCATGCCGGATGAAGCTTCAGGAGCGAGCAGCGGAGACACAGGTAAGTTTTGACCTTTTTGGTAACTTTTTTATTTTTTAAATTGATTTTGCATATATCTATTGCTTGCTAGCAGTAGATATATGCAAAAGAAAAAAAATCCAGACCTTAATTCTACTTTAAATGTACTTATCAATAGCCACATAGGAGCTACGGGAGCTGTGGGAGGGATCCAGCAGGCTCACCTGTCATGGATCAATGGGAAGCTGAGGGGGTACACGGATGTAGGAGGCCCGACAGTGTGCGAGTTAATGCTGCCCGTTGCTCATCCTTGGAAATCGCCCAGCATGCTGGTAGATCGTCATGAGGATCCCGAAAGTGCCCCTGCAGATGCAGCGGTAGTAACCGTAAAAACACAACATGCACACAGTAATAAACTAATCTACACTGCCACCACACACAACTTACAGGCTTGTGGGAAACCTCTTCCCGCGCACTTCTAGTCCGTCCACTCTAGACTTCGATTGAAAAATAAACTTTCGTCAAACAGTAGGGGGTCCTGATAGGGCCACACACTAGTCGACCAGTGCATGGCTAGCTTAAGATAAGAAAGAGACAGGATATTGTGAGTGTGTGCTGCATCTTCCTCTCCCCATCTGCATAGCCCCAAAGAAAGGGTTGTGGCACCTGAGCATTTCTGTTTTTCACATCAGATGAACCAAAATGATCGCGTGTCAGTCTGTTTATACTGTTGCACCTCAGCTAACATCTTGGGTTTATGTTTGGTTTGTAGGCATTACTCTGTGGATTGTGCATTATGTGCCCTGAAAATCCACTCCAGTTTTTGGAATTGAAGATTAAGGAAATCATGGAGAAGGGTCATCAAGCTCTTCTATGGTAGGATATATGTCTACATTTAACATACTCATCGTAAGGAGAGCAGTGAGACTGTTGGTTCCTCTACTCATTCTACAGTTGTTCCTGCTTTAGTTGTGTCTAATTAATCAATGCTAAGAAGGCATTTCAAAAAAATGCTAATTTCTTTGTAGGGCTAAATGTACAGTGGGGAAGCCACTGCTCAATATGTACAAATGATCTTGGTGTTGCCGCTGAGATCACTGATAATAGGCCTGCTGGTCCGCCCCCACCACCAGCTGCCTCTCTCCCCGCTTGCCGCTTCCCTCCTCGCCGTGGTTATCGGGTGCCTCACTTTAATGGGGGTACCAGGACCATGGCAGATTAGTTCAGGATGGAGAGCGGGGAGGGGAGCGGAGAGCGTCCGTTCTCGGGTCTGCTCCATGTTAACAGGGAGACAGGAATGCTACATTCGCAGCCTTCCCATCTCAGCTGTCACTGGAGAGCCAGCACAGTGCTATGCTAAAACTCCTGTTCTCTTCACCTCCAAATGCTATCACACAGGGCTTGTTAGACTCTGTGTGATAGCAATAAAGTTAAGAGAAAAAAAAGTAAAAAAGAAATACAAATAATACAAAAAATGTACAAAAAGTCAAAAATAATATAATAGATAAAAATGTAAAAAATAAGTAAAAATGAATAAGAAATAATAATTAAAATAAAAAAATAAAGTGATACAAAAAAGTAAAAAAATAATGGTCAATTAAAATGATAAAAAATAACAAAGTAAAAGGTAATAAGATAAATAAAAAAAAGTGATAAAAAAAGTAAAAAATAATAATTAAAGAAAAAAAAAAAAAATTAAAACCAACCCTGCCACCTCCGCCATCTGCATGTGAATAAATGCACATGCAGGGCATTGTATGTGTGTGTGTGCTGAGTGCTGCCCCCATTTCACTGTGTGACAAAGTGGTAGCTGGGCAGCAGCACTAACACGTACAATGTGCATTAAAGGGTAAGTTCACTTTCCCAAGTAATTTGGAAAATGGAATTACGCGCTCAAATCTGGCCCCTATCCACCCCCGCTATACTTCCCCTCCGCTGGTACGGGTGTACTATCATACACTGCCATACAGTGCTGCCCTGCAAAATTGATTTTTAATTTTGCTTGCAAATTAAGAGCGCTCGTTGGTCAGCACAGTCACCTGACCAATGAAAAGCGCTTCATAGCACAGTTAAATAAGGCTTTGGTTAGAATCATTTTTTGTATCAGGAAAAGTAGATTGCCATGAGGGACAAGTAGATTGAGCCCCCACTTTAGTCCTTGGACAAGTAGTTATTTCAAAATGGTAAACACACCTGCTAGGTGCCGGTTGCTGGGGCCTGCACACTCCAGGTTCTCACCTGGGGTGCTCCACGCAGGCCTCCGGTATCCCACCTGTCTCCGCATCACATTAAATCTTTAAACCTGGAAGGTGCCCGGATCCTATTTAATATATTGCCAAAACGGCAATATATTAAATTAAAGTCATCCTGTGGTGGTCCAGTGAAGGATCAGTATGATCTACATCTCTTGCTGATGCAGATCATACTAATCACTCTCTTGTGGTGCTGTCGCTCACAGGAAAGAGCGATTAGTATGATCTGCATCACACCAGAGATGCAGATCACACTGATCCTCCGCCGGACAACCAGGATAATCCCCGAGCACCCCACTTTTCCCAAGGAGGAAGTCCCCTCCCTGCAAAACAGGTAAGCAGGAGAGGGGGGCATTTTTTAAATTATTATTAACTTTTAATTATTGTTAAAGGTTGTGTGTGTTTTATGAGTGTGTCATATATGTCTGTGTTTTTTAATAAGTGTGCGTGTTTTATTCAGTGTGTGTGATGTGTGTGTGTTTTATGAGTGTGTGTGTGTGTTTTTTTATTGATTGTGTCATATGTGTGTTTTTTCAATGAGTGTGATATACGTGTGTGTTTTTAATAAGTGTGTGTGTGTTATTGAGTGTGTGTGTGATGTGTTTGTTTTTATGGATGTGTGGGTGTGTTTTATCAGTGTGTATGATATGTGTGTATTTTTATGAGTGTGTGGTGTATTTGTATGAGTGTGTGTGATATGTGGACCCTCTCAGCCCCTCTGGCTGAGAGTCCTGGGTGTCATAGTTGCCAAACTACACCGTGGCATTGCCTTGCACTGCCACAATGATTACTGTATATGTGTGATTATATTTAAGATAAATACATTGATTTTGCGTGGCAGTTTGGGCACTCGGGCTCAAAAATGTCCTAGGCACAACTCAAGTAAATGTTTTTCTTCCCCAGGAAAAACTTCATTCTCTCTGCTCCCAGACTCGGGCTCTTGTATTCAAGGGTCAACAGTCTGTTTGCTTTTGTATGAGACTCATGGGGCTGATAGTAATCTCCTTCGAGACAGTCCTGTTTCCCCAGTTTCACTTCAGACTCTTACAAGGATACACAAAACAGAATTGAATAGGGCTTTTTGAGATGAGAAGACAAACCACAATAAGGTTGAGCTAGTTTTAAAAGAATTTACAAAATATTTATTAACATAGAAAACATTAACATAGCCATGAACACTAATGAAAGCAAGTCACAGTTGTAGGCAGAGGATTATCAAAGTCTTGAGGAGCAAGACTAATTAGTTGTATCTATTTATACAAAACCCATATACAGTAGTATCAACCACTAGATGTTATAAAGTGATTTCAGACTCTTACAACTCAGCATCCTGTCATTGTGGGACAAACCAGTCCCTCAACAAACTGACACCAAGGACCAGGTTATCTCTGGCCTGGTGGCTCACAAATTAAGCTCTGGAGTTGGGGAAATCCTTGCTTCCAATCTCTTTGAGGATCCTCACAACAGTTGTCATCTTGCAGACTGGGGAGTAGTCTGGAGTTCTGGAGCTTTGGGCAATAAAGTTGTCCTATTTTAGTTGTCCAGCATCCAGTTGGACAATGTCACAGCAGTAGCTTGCATCAACTATCAGGGAGAAACCAGAAGTCTTGCCATGCTTTTCCTCCTCTAAACCTCCTTGCTTGTCTGCCCCCACAGAATAGAGATGGAGGACATTCTGGTGATCCTCATGGCTCCAGAGTAGCCCAGGAGAACAATATACTGTGATCTGATCAGACTCTGGGCAGGTGCTCTGTGGGCCTTTTCAGATTTTCAGGATCTTCTCTCCCAAGGACCGCTTTACCATTCAGCTTCGCAGTCACTGGCTTGAGGGTTGGAAACATCTCTGTATCTGTCAGAGGCGTAAGTAGAAACCTCAGGGCCCCGGTGCAAGAAACTATGAAGGGCCCCCTTGGGAGGCAATGCTGATGCCTCAGCAGTTACCGGGGCCGGGTCCGGGTCCTCTTCTGCCTCTCTTGCCCCCCCAAGTGGTGGAACGTCAGGGCCCAGTCGCACATGAGACTGCTGTGATCCTGATAGTTCCGCCAGTGGCATTTTTACAATTAGACCTGGACCAACATTTGGTCCTGAGTACTGTCAATGGTAAAATCTTGGTGAGTGTGGTCTTGTTCCAAAGACTGCTAGCTTCCTACTGCTTTGTACAGGGTGTTCCCCATGTGGCTTCCCCTGTACATTCATGCTTCATTTCATGGGATTTGAATTTGGTTCTTTCAGCACTTTAAAATCTGCCCTTTAAATCTGTTAGGGATGATCCCCTTTCTATGCTTGCTCACAAGATTACTTTCCTTGTCACCATCACCTTTGCAAGTTGTGTGTCTGAACTGGTGGCCTTGTCTTGTAAGGAACCATTTCTGGTCTTACAAAGAGACAAGGTAGTGTTGAGGCCTAGAGCCTCTTTCCTTTCATAGGTAGTTTTAGTCTTCACTCAGGACAATGTACTACCATCTCTCCGACTCCAGTACATTGTCTTGATGTAGTTCATTCTGTCAAGTCCACCCTGCAGCCACTGCTTCCATTAGGAAGACGGACTCTCTCTTTGTCATGTGAGATGGTCCCTGCAAAGGGGAGACAGATTCTTACTCCACCATTTATTGGTGGCTCAGACAGATTATTGTTCAGGCCTATGGTCTTAAGAATCAGGTGCTACCCTTTCTGGTCAAAGCACACTCTATTTGATCTGTGAGCGCTTTTTAGACTTTTAGGCATCATGCAACTGTTTCCCAGATTTGCAAGACTGCCACCTGGTCTTCTGTTCATACATTCTCAAAGTTTTTCCAGGTAGCTGTTTAGGACTGTTCTGATGCCAGTTTTGGGTGTTAGGTTACCAAGGTGCGCAATTTGAGCTGCAGGTAGTCCCCAGTTTTTACTGTTGTTTTATAGTATGCCTGTCAGCATTTTGTTTGCTGTGTTGCCCACCCTTCAATTGCACTGCTTTTGGACGTCCTGAATATCTAAGAATTACTACATTTCTGTGTTCCTCAAAACTCAGCACTGCTTTGTTACAAAACAGGCTTGCTGGGACTGGTAGGGCTTATACCAGGCTTCTCACTGTTCTTATGTATAGGAGATGGGCGGCAAAAGTTAGTTCGCCTGGGGAGGGCATGAAGTATACTTCCGTCCCTCGTAATTTAAGGTAGTAATGTCTGACATGTTTTGTCTAGGTTGTCTGACTACACTGTATGTGGATACCACTGTTAGAAGCTATATGTTGCCACCTTGAGGTAGGACTAAGTAATAACCAGGAAACCTGTCTTCAGAGAGTTTTGTAGACTGCTATTGCTGACCTCTCCTTCTAAAGGTGGCCATACACTTTTTACAACCTTAGTCTTGCGATGGTTGTAAAGTAATTCAAAAACGTCTTGCATATATCTACTGCTTAGTAGCCGTACATATATGCAACAACACCTGAGGATTTAATAACACTTTAAAGCAGCTCCCAGCAGGCAGACACTCCGCACTCTTTCCCATAGTGGTTAATATGTGGGTGTGAGCGGTCTCAGCAGAGCTGCGGGCGGTCTCAGCAGAGCTGCGGGCGGTCTCACCAGGGATGCGGGCGCTCTCACCAGGGCTCTGCAGGGTCTCGGGTGACAGATTTGCAGGGTTAGGGCTGCTGGTCCTCTCCCCCCCCCTTAGGTCGGTCCTCTCTCTCCCCCTCTGCCTGACACTGCTCCTAGACCACTCCCCCTCCTTCCTGGGCCCTCAGGTGCAAAGCGGGCCCTGGCAGTGCCTGCAGAGGGGCGGGAGGAGAGAGGGAGGGAGCCGGTGTTCAGTCGGGACTTAGAAGGAACACCGGCGAGCAGGTAAATCCCCCCGCCACCCATACTGATGCCAACAGGCGGAACGCCAGGGCCCGGTCGCGGTCGCGACCGGTGCGACCCTGGTAGTTCCGCCAGTGAGCGCAACCTTTGCTCACAAAAATTGGACCTCCTGACTTGAGCTTGATCCCGGACAGATGACACTTTAAGGGCCCGTTCACACCAGATGCAGTGTTTTCCGGCCCGATTCTGGCCAGAACACACTGCCTCGCATTGCGGCTGGCTTACTTTTTTGTGGGGCAGGAGGGGACGTGGTGGGCCATTGAAGTGAATTGCACCGTAGCCACGCCCTCCGGCCTCAATGCGATCGGCCACATGGGATCGCAAGGCACATTATGCCTGCGGTCCGGTGCAATCAAAATAGTGCTTGTAATTAGGATGGAAATTGGGGGACGTTCAGGCTTTTTGTGAGAAGGGCCCTTGCATCTTTTGCTTTATCGATTGTTACATTATGGTAATACTGTTGTGTTTTAATTTCAACATATTTTAAAGAACTGTGAAATGTGTTGGTTCTATACACAAAGAATATTAACGGGGCATGCAGAAAGACTCGGGCTCAGATGTAAAACATCAGTTTAGAGAAAATATAAACTCTATAGGTTTTCTTTAAAGGAGTTGTAAAGTCATAGCTTATACTATCCTGTTATAATATCACCATTGTAATAGGAATGAGTTGTTTCTTTTTAAAAATCCCTTTTATGCAGTGTGTGCTGCCTTCTGTCTGCCCAACATTTTGTGTGTTTGTATTACTTTCCCTGCTGCTTGATGTGATGCAATCTCAATTTCTCAAGACTACATATCCCATCATGCATTGCTTTTGACAAGCAATGATGATGTTACATTGTTCAGAAGTTGTGGTTCAGAAGGCAGGCTCTCTGGAATTTGTGACTTATTCACAGGGATGAGTGATATAGTGTTAGTGCACTGAGGAAGTACATCCTATGGTCACCTTCAATAAGTACGTTTACAAACCTCTAGATCAATATGGTTATTAGGATTGGGATATAATTTATGGAAGTTCAATACACAAATACATATTTAATTTTAGTTTGTGTCTTCAGTCACACTCACACCAACACATTGTTCACAAAACAATTTTACATACTAATAGAAGCAACAGAAAATACAGCTAGCTCACGCATCATAATGCTTAATTCCAGTGAAGTATTTTTTAGCAATGCACTATCTTCTCAAATATCTGTGTTCCTTCTAATATAAGGCATGTAAGATAACGACAAGCTGTCTATTCTACTGTTTTCAAAAGGGATGCATACATAGATGAAACAAGAAAACCAAAAATAAAGGCAATGACAGGAAGCTATCTAGAATACTTATTTGGACAAGATGAAGATCAGCTGGTAACTACTTTCTATACATACTTTCTGCTATGTAAATCTTTTTTCAGGACTTTTTTTCATACTGTGGAAGGTGTGACTTTTGGGAATATATGGTGAGCGCTTTAAGGATGCAGGCCACTTGCAGTATCTTCTGTTTAAAGGAGAACTATGGTGTCAGTGTTTTTCCCCATAGTTCTCCTTAGGGTAACGGGAGGACACAAACTAGCGTCCTCCCGTTACCCTAAGCTCAGTATACCGCGAGCTACAGCTCGCGGTATACTGAGACGCCACACCTGGAGCGGATCCCGACTCGGAAGACGGGATCCGCCCAGCTGCGTGAGTGACAGCTGGCTCTGCCTACCTAGAGGCAGAGCCAGCTGTACCCGCCCCCTCCCCCGTTCGTTCCGCCAGTCAGCGCTGGCAGATCGGAGCGGGGAGAGGGGAATCCAGCCCCTCCCCCTGTCACGGCAGAGAGCCGTGACAGGATCGAGAGGTGAGGGAACCCGGTATGTGTTCCCTCACCTCCCGATCTACTGAGCCGACCTGTGACAGTCTCATTGTCACAGGTCGGCTTAGAACTATGAGGTGAGTGGAAATCACTCATCTCATAGTTCTCCTTTAAGGGCCTGCTATCCCACTTTTTGAAATGAAAGTTCACACATCCATGCACTGCTTGCAACATAACACAAGTATAGCCTCCTGGCTTCTACTTTAAACATTACCACTTCTGACCTACCGATTCTCCTTGAAGTGTTGTCCCACTTGTCCTGGAGGCCCCTCAGGCTCACGGCTCTCCTAGCCTCACCAGTTCTCCACAACCTCCCTGGCTCCACTTCGACTTCTGGAAGAGTCTGTCTGACCCCTGAACACTGTCTGTTCCTATTTCCCAACAGGAGCTTACCTGACTCCTCTCTGACTTCTGGAGCAGTCCTCCTGACTCCAGAACATGGTCTGCTCCTATTTCCCAGCAGGAGCAAAATACCCTAGTCAGCATCCTTATCTTAATTACTTGCTGTCCAACCGTTTTAAATAAACAGGTGGACAGCAACCTCTTCCCGGTGGGTGGACGTATCTGCACATAAATTATTTTCTCTGTGTGGCGAGCAGAATCCCGATGTGCATGTAAACAGCTGGTACCGGCTGCTACATACAAGCGTTTAGGCGGCTCTACAGCCGTCAGATCGCTTGTATGACAACAAACACCGTGCACCTCCCCCTCCGCTGCTGCGCCCCGCTGCTGCCGTGCTCCCCCACTTCACCGCCGCTGCCGGTTATCCCGAGCTCCGCTGTCTCCCCTGCGGGCCCGGGACCGGAACAGCGGCTGTTTACAGTGATAACAGAGGAGAGATCAGCATTATACCACTTGCTGATCTCTCCTCTGTTCTCTCTAAAGGCGGAAGTGATGTGTATTACATAACATCCGCCTTTACCTTCATTTCTCTGGCTTCTATAGCCAGAGAAGAAGCTGGTGAAGCAGATCTCTGCTTTATCAGCTTCTTTGGGGGTCCCTAGGTGATGTCTGCATAAAGAGGACCTGTCATTGTATATTTGTTTTCACCCTATGTGATAAAAACCGCAAAAAAATTAAAGTCCCCCACGTGCATGCACATATAAATGTAAATACGCGTCGGGTGCGCCTATGTGCGACAACAATTACGCCACACATGTTACATATCACTGCGAAGGCCAGAGTGCGAGCAATAGTTCTAGGGCCATTTATCACTAATAACACTAAACTGATGAGCGGTAAAAGATTTTAAAGTGTCGCCTATGGCCAATTTTACGTATGGAAGTTTTTTGTCATTTCAAGGGCAAGCGTGACATGTTTGGTGTCTATTTACCCGACGTGATCCCGTCTTTTATATATTACCAAAAAACTGGGTACTTATAAATGTTTTACAGTGAAAGCAGGTTTTTTTCAAAATGTTTGGAACTTTTTTCATTATATAGTAAAAAATAAAAGCTCTATCTGTCCCCAAAAAATGATATAAAATTAATTTCAGTACAGCGCTGCATGACGGAATAAATGTCAAAGTATACTGAATACTAAAAAATGGCCTGGACAGGAAGGGGGTTTAACACCCAGGTCATCAAGTGACTAAGGGCTGTGCACACCTGTGCAATCATCGGGTGCTGGTCATTGCTAAAGCCTGGACCCAGGACTGGAGCTTTCTTCCCTCCTGAATCACTTTGAAACCTCCCTGGTCCAGGATCTCAAACATAATCCAGACAAACTCTTGCTTCCTGACACCTCTGGCTGAGAGCCCTGGGTGATCATGACACCCAATTCTACAGTGGGATTGCCACACAATACCACAAAGGCAAATAATGTGCAAGTGCTCTAACATGATGAAGCACGTTATTTTAATTGGTTTCCTCAATACATGAATTTGTAGTGTTTAATCCAATAATAAATAAATAAATTATAATAATCAAGTAATATTTGGGTCAGATTTGTTGTTGACTGTTTAAATGAGAACTATGAGGTGAGTGCTTTTCACTCACCTCATAGTGCTAGCCGACCTGTGACAATGAGACTGTCACAGGTCGGCTCACTAGATCGGGAAGTGAGCGAACACATACCGGTGTTCGCTCACTTCTCGATCCTGTCACGGCTGGATTCCCCCCTCTCCGCTCCGATCCTCCAGCGCTGACTGGCGGAACGGACGGGGGAGGGGGCGGGTACAGCTGGCTCTGCCTCTAGATAGGCAGAGCCAGCTGTCACTCATGCAGCTGGGCGGATCCAGACATAATTGTCGGGATCCGCTTCAGCTGTGGCGTCTCAGTATACCGCGAGCTGTAGCTCGCGGTATACTGAGCTTAGGGTGATGGGAGGATGCTAGTTTGTGTCCTCCCATTACCCTAAGGAGAACTATGGGGAAAAGCCCTAACCCCATAGTTCTCCTTTAACTTATCTTTTTACTTCTTTATCTCTGCATTAGTGCTGACAAACATAATCCTTTGGGTGACAACCCATGTTTACTTATATGCATTTACGTATTCCACACAAATGAACTGTACAGAATAGCTTGGCTGATCTAAAAAAAATAAAAAATGATTTTTATGGCAACCAGTTAAACAGATTTTATCTCTTGTTTATTAAAGTGTAACTAAATTAAAAAAGTTCTGCTTATCTGATACAGGACAATAACCTTAACAGTGCACAGGCATAAGTATTTGTATTTATTGATTTGACTGTAATTTTCATATCTTATTGGGCTCAACTGAAAATAACTGTCACTTATTTGATAATAAGTATCCTTATCCTGAAATATTAGTTTTGTGAATTGGTCCTAATGACTAAAATATACTTGATTTTTATAAATAATAAACTTTCCAATCCAGAGTTATTCTCATTGATTGTTTGTAACTGATACAAATAATAGGCTCAATTCACAAACCTATAACACAAGCATAAGTGTTTTTATTTTAGCCATGTGATGGTGAATGTTTTCTCATTGGGCTCTACTGAAAATACCTGTCACTTATTTGATTATAAGTATCCTTATCCCGGTGTGTTAGCTTTGTAAATTGATCCTAATGACTAAATTATGTTTGATTCTGATCAATAATGTAACATTTCAATTCCTGAGTTATTGTCATTGTTTCTAAATGATGAATTAGTTCGTACACACCTTATCAGCACTGAAAGTATCAGTGCAGTCCTGTGCCAGATCTTCTTCTCAGCCCTTAAAATGACACTAAACTAAGGAGTTACATCCTAAAATGCATTTGAGTTCCCTATTAACAATATTTTATCTTATTTGTGCATCACTTAGCTGTAGATCCTCAAATCATCTCTGAATTGATGTTGACAATGTCCTTCCTTCCTAGGGGGTGGCTACGTTTGTCCCCTCATGTGTATTGTAAAGTAGCCACCACTCCAAACTCCCTCCCAGGATGGACTAAAGTCCAACATTTAGTTTACTAATTTGCATTGAGATTGTAGTCCATCACAGGAGTAATCTTGAAGTGGTGACTACTTTACAACACACACAGGGACCACGGGGAACAAAAGTAGCCACCCTCCAGAAGGAAGGGCAGTGTCAGGATGAATTCAGTGATAATTTGAGGATCTACAGCCGAGTGATACACAAGTACACTATATGTTTGTTAATAGTTAGGGTACTTGAATGCATTTTTAAGCTTTACTCCAGAGTTTAGTATCACTTTAAATTTCTAGATTTAAAACTTCAGCCTTCAATGTGAGACTGTAAATAGAATCTAACAAAATGTATGGCATATTGGATAATCTTCAACAAACTGAATTTACACATGGGGTCTAGTCTCAAAGTTTGCACAGCTGGGCTTTAGAAGAAAAGTTGCAGATTACCACAACACTTCGCCATCAGAAGGACAAAATAATCTGTGGTTTGGAAACTTTCATCTGATTCCATTTTTGTTTACCAGTATCACTTCAAACATGAGCACAGCACTGTTATTCATACACACTCACAGGATACAAGTGAGCCTGCATATGTTTATAACAAGGAGAGACAATGATATTTCATCTGATTGAGCATCGGTCACCATGTCCTGCGAATATGGCTCCTTTTATCAGTTCTTCTGTCAGTTAATTCACCCATTGGTTAATATTCAAGTACATAAAACACATTAGGCTATTTGAGGAGAGGGCTTGTCAAGTTTTGCCTTGCTGTCTGCACATCTTGGATGTAAACCAAAGGATTTTCCGATTACTTAACATTCCTTTGATGCAGCTTTCTTTTTCCATTCAGGTGTCACCAGAACTATTTAAGAAAGCATACTCCTTTTACATCAACAAACTGCAAAGATTATACCTTGAGTGAGTATTTTACTGCCTGACAGATTTACATGTTTAAGTAAAAATATTTTTAGCATGAAGGCCATTTGGTAGATGTTCAAGGTTCTTTAAACCTATCAAGTTTTGGTTAAGTGCTATGAAAACATTCTGGATTTATGCACTGCTAAATGTGTACTTTTGTATTAAAGGACCATTGAATCTACAATGTACATTGCCTTGTGAAAGGGCAGATGATTGCAAATCTGTATAAAAGTCTCATATCTTAATAGCCATTGAGATGCTTGGTATTCAGTTCATATTTTGTGTATAGAGTGTGAAAAAAGGAGATTTCTGTTCAGGACTACCATTACAGTTCATGGCACCCCTTGTACCTGGTGTTGCACAGTGTTTCATTTCACCACCTCCTGTATTAAAGAGAATGGGTTCTTGATAAAGGGTTCAGAAAGAGCTACCCATAACATACAGAAATATTTCCATATTTGGATAAGAATGTGCCTAGAATAGAGAGGGAACCATAGTATTCAGTAAAATCCCTGCCAGAATACATACAGATTTTCTCTCCCACTTAAGTGCCCCAACTTCTCTCCAAGGCAGCCATTTTTCCTAACTGTACAAATAGTTCCCATGCCTCCTCAGTGGTCTAACCCCCCCTCCCCCCTTTCCCATATCTACTTACTTTACAGAACCTCTAGTTCTAGTTCCTCCCATGTGCCATTGTCAAGTGCCACTTCATTTACCTATTGCCTATCCAAGTTCATTGCTCACTTCTAGTAAATAGCAGGAGGAGCCATCATCTATCCTTACAGCCATGACCGCTTTCCACTAAATATGCAGGGAAATACCAGATTCTCCATCCCACATATATGCCTCAATGTCTCCCCCCTTTCTCCTTACTGTGCAGAACCTACCCTAGCTCCAGTCAGTTCTCCACATGCATCCTAGTCAAGTACACCTCCCCTTACCTATTGCCTATCTAATTGCTCACTTCCAGTGAACAGCAGGAGGAGCCATAATTTCTCCTTAAAGCCATTACAGCTCCCCACTGCTAATATATTGCTAATGAATATTTCTAATATACCTCCTGGCTGGTTGTGAATGTTGTTCTAGAGTTGAGTTCCAGTCAGAAGAAGTATTCATAGTTGAGGCCAGATACAAGTGCATTATATTCAGTAGGGCTAAGTTAATTTATTTCTGCCCAAACAGCTACCCCAAATGTTTTATGGACACACCACCATTACAATATTAAACTGGCCAGCAAGGATAATATAGTTTGATTTTGTCAGTAGCCCTTACAGACTGTCTGGAAATTTCTGTGCGATTGGCAAACCCGTAGTGGAGAAACTATCCTAGCTAACTCATGGCCATAACTCCTGATAAGTCCTATAGTTTATTACTGTAGCCCATGCCATGGGTTATAATGATGGTGGGGTATTGGGGCAAATACATGAAGCTGACAGCACTGCTATCATTTGAAATTACAGTCAAAATATCTTCTGTGTATGCAAATTATCCTCTAAAGCAGTACATATGGCTTGGGCCAGAGGAACTGGGGCTTCGTGTAACATCTTGATCCAAAAGTCTCCTGCATGGATCTTAAAGTGTATTTCCACCTTTGCAGTCAAATTTGAGAAACCCCCTACTATTTGGTTTGTTATGTGTTCCCATTCATAAAACATACCTAATAATATTTATATTTTAAATAGATCTTACATTTCTAGTTGATTCTAGATTATGAAGCAGGCCTTACACAGACTGCTAGATACTCTGAACAGTTTAAAAGTGAATATGGAGGGGGTCAAAGCGAGGACAGACTCAGTTTCTCGTTAATATACAATGCAGAACACAAGCCCTGAGATCATTGATCCATTGTTAGGACAGACATTGTTCAGATCTAGTTTACAGCTGATAATGTGTCCGGTACCTTGGAGGAGTCTGAGTTGACGAGGGCGGCCTCCCTTGCAGCTCCAGTCTCAGAACCCCAGGATGGCTGGACAGGTGCACGGGGACTTGGAGTGGTGCAAGTGTCAGAAGAAGACACAATAGCCAAGTAGAACAGCCTCCTTAAGGCTTACGCACCTCAGGCAGGATACAGACACAGGAGAGGAACACTGAGGATGAAGTTCCAGGAAAACCGTAGTCGAATCAAGCTCGAGTTGAGTCATTGCCAGGCGGGCAGAGCGATAACAGGCGACACACAGAGATGAAGTCTGGGAACAGGCCAAGGTCAGTACCATGCAGGAGGTGAAGTAAAGACTTTAGGCAGGAGCGGTGGTCAAAAAACAAGCTGGGGTCACAGGAGCACAGAAGATCAGCAGAAGGTCAAGACAAACCGGGTTGGTTACAGATGATCGGGAACTCAGGATTTCAGGAGATTTTCAGGATTTTACAGATGACAGCTGACAATCACAGAGCACTGGAGATCTGGACATTACAGTATATATAGCCCATAAGGCGCCAAGGTTTGAATTACGCGCAGGTGCATCTCTGCGCACACATAAAAACGCACACACGTCTGCCGAATGACACACGGCTCGGCAAGCCTGTATGAGTGAAACTAGGCAAATGCGGACACACAGACACTTGTCCACGGATCCTGGTTCTGGCTTCCTGACATAATGGGATTTGCTAGCACAGTACAGAGTTAATTAAGGTAAACATGACCTACCCCGGAGTCGCTCGGGGGCCCAAGTCCTTCTGATCGAGGCCCAAAAAAAAAAAACATGACCTACTCAGCCCCTTCTTTTACATTACAAAGCAGGAGAACACATAAGTTTGGGAGTTTTCAGAAATACAAAGTAACAAGTAAAAGACAAACAGCATTTTTTAAATAAGTTATGCTATGTGAATGGGGACATGTAACAAATATAAAATATGTGTTATCATAATTCGACTGCAAAAGTGATAGGATATGCAGTTACTGAGTGTGTTGTCTCTTAAGCCGATATACTGTAACAAAGCTTTGCCTGGGGTTAGGCTTTATTTTTATATAATTATCATGATCATAAACACAAGCATAAGCATATTAAAATATTACACAAATAAACTCACAGACTGATAGAAATTCTTTCAGACTCTCATTATGTCTGTTTACATTGCTACTATGTCTTTTCGGATTGTATTACCTGGATATTATTACATGTATTGTAAGCGTTGGTGAAAGGCTAATAAAACATTTATTCCTCCTAACATATGCAGTGCTTGGTTAGAGTACTGTGCATCAAGGAAAGCCAGAAAACTTGACACCCAGGCCAAGCTTCAAAGTGCTGAGACTCACCATGCAAACACCTTGCTGAAGACCATAATACACAGATGGGAGAAGTGGGTGAAATTTCGCAGGCAGCAACATATAGGTATGTTTTGAAATGCCATTACATTGTCTTATGTACTTCGAAGATCATAGTTTATTCAAACTTATACATACATGGACATTATTTTAATCTAGATCTCCAGAAAAAAAAAACAGAAAAAAACCATCCTTAAGCTGGCCACAGACTCGAATTTTGGCCATAGGCTCAAATTCTGGGCAATTTCTGCTGAATCAGACAGAATTCGAGCAGTGGGTGGCCGTGCAAATACCACAAGGCTCAGCAACAGTCTACCTTAGGTTTATAATGCTGTATCAGTTAAAGAGTTGTCTATGTCTCTAACATAAACTGTTTTTCTTGGTTTGTGAAGCTATGCAGATTGGTTGACCTCTCAAACCTCAATTCTCAAAAACCTGGGAACCTGTCAGGCCAATCAACGTATATAAATTAACATAACTGGTAAAGTGCAGGCAAAGTACCTGCACTTGTTCATATCAGTTCCTTTATGTCCAGGAATGACCCTAGATCCTTGAAGTAGGGTACTTGACATCTCTGCAGCCCTCTGCAGACTTAAGCCCAGCCCCATCTTGGTACCAAGCCCTACACCGTCATTTTAACTATGAGAGCATCTCTTGACAACTCAGGCTCTGACATTTTACTGTTCAATGACGGGGGGGTGGGTTCTTTTTAATTCGAACTTAATAATCGGCTAACTAATCGATTATGAAAATAATCGTTAGCTGCAGCCCTAGTTCTTTTCATCAATAGGGAGCAAGTTTTGGTCAGGAGCATCAGGAGAGGATAAAGGCATAAATGCCTTTACTTTACCAATAATGTTAGTTAACACACATTGGAGGACCTGACAAGTTCACTATAAAGTTAGTTGGAGCCACACTGGGTCAATGCCCTTCACATCAACTGAATGTTATTAGCTGTTGAGAAGGAGGAATGGCCACACACATTAATCCTAATATTTGGTAATAAATTCACATTTGTATTGTATATAAGTATTTTTCTGAAATTTCAATGTTTGTATGTTATATTACCAGTATAGATGTAACAGAGCAGTGGGGTAGATTGTATTAAATGTTTTAGCTGTGCTACATACAGTTACTGCTGGAGAAGGTGCTTGTTGATTTGATGTGTGTGTTTATTACATGATCAGTGAATAGCAGCAGTCATTTCCTTTTATTGCCTTCTTTTCAATGATCTAAGCCAAGGGTGTCAAACTCGATTTCTTTACGGGCCGCATCAGCATTATGGTTTCCCTCAAAGAGCCAGTTGTATCTGTAAAACTATATAAATGTATCTACTCTTTATCATATGAAATAATTGCCTCTGCATTCGATTATTTCTGCTTTTAGTAATACCTTAATAACTAGCTCTGAAGTAGAAGTCTAGGAAAAATAATGGCATATAGTGTAATAGTGCTGACTCTCAGGTTGCTGTGCGGGTTCTCAGGTGGGCTATGCGGGGTCTATGGCGGGTTGTGAAGTTTCTATGGTGGGTTATGAGGACTCTTCGGTGTCTGTACAGGTTCTAGGGTGGGCTGTGCAGACTCTCACGTGCGTCATCATGTAAAAACGCGTCAGGTATGCCTACATACGAAAACGACGATTGCGCTACACATGTTGGGCATCGCCGCACATGCTAGAGTGAGAGCAATAATTCTGGGACCAATATTTACACGCATCCCGAAACTGATGACCTGTAGGGGCTTCTAAAGCGTCGTCTATGGACTTTTTGGGGTACTGAATTCTGTCGCAGTTTCACAGACACAATAATTTTTTAACCTGGGCATGTTGGGTATCTATTTACTAGTTGTAGTTAAGGTAAAAAGGGGTTAAGGTAAAAAGCACCCAGTACCTTAGTCTCTCCCCTGTCCCCCCACACTGAAATGTCACTGCCACTTGTCACTGCCACCGGTCCCGAAGAGATCCTCCGTTCCCCTTTCTAACTGGGGCAGGGTAGGGTACTGAGGGCAGAGAAGCCATAGGCTCCTTCTGCCCTCAATCAAACTGATGGGCAGAGAGGAGGGGCGTGGCCTGGCACAGGGCTGTGTGTGTCTATGGACACACACAGCTACTGTGGGCACAAGCATGCAAGGGTGCCTCCACAGCAGCCGCTTAGCCAATGAATGCTTCGGAAACCACTAGAAAATGAGGAAGTAAACATTTTTTAAAAAGAAGAAAAGTAGATTAATGCAACGGTGGGCCTCCTAGGTTGAAACATGAAAAAAAAGTAAACTTTAATATCACTTTAAATATTGACGCAGTTATTTTCACTGTATTTGCAAATATCTTTCAGACTGTGTTGGTAATAGTTCAACTGACTAATGTTGGTCATAACATATACAATGTTTCCTAGCTGATGATAATTGGGAAGTTTATGTGTTAACAAATGGACACTGACTTGTAAATGAAGAATATTTTATAGCTAAAATTTTCAGCCACCCATGCAAGTGCAAATTCATAAATGGTCATTCCACAAACTAGCTTTCTGGAGGACTATCATTGTACCTAGAGCCTCAGCAAATGTGAATAGACAGTTCTTGGATCTTTCTGAAGACAGTCCTACCCACACAGGACTTGTAGTTCACAATATATGTACATACAAAGGTTGCCAGGCCCACAACTAGATCAATGGGATAGTTAACTTGCTAACATGACAAGAAAAAAAATATATGGATGTTTTTTGTGAATGAAGAAATTAACTTGAGTGGCAAGCACAGACAATTATAGGTACTCCTTAGATGAATTTGATTATTTTAGAAAAATCTATTTACTGAACACAGAAAGATTTTCTGTGACTTGGTGGGAAATCAACAGGTGGCAGCACTCGACTGTATTCCGTAGATTGGACTCCATTCCTATACCTAGTCCGGCATTGCAAAAACACATCTCTTTCTTTCAGCACATTTCCTCCCATTTTAAAAGACACAAAACAGACTTGATGTGCTTTTAATATGTAGGATATTGTTCTGTAGTTCCACAGGGGCTGTCTCTGCTGGTCTATCTACTGTCAAGGCATTGGGGAATGGAAGGTCAGGAATAAGCAAGGGCCAAATTCTTTGGCAGGGCTTAATGTTAGAATTGACTTTTGGGTCCACCCTGAATATGGTTTACAGTGTTTAGTATTGCTAACTCATCCCTAAATTACTGACTCATAGATATTACACAAGTTCTGAATAAATACAGGCAATGCACAGAAGTAAATCCACAGATGTTGCATCAGCATTAAAGGGTTGGTAACACTGACAGTCCCTCCAGTGTATAAAAAAATTGCTATTAGGCATTATTTGTTCAGTAAATGGAATAACAACCAACCAAATTTCAGTTGTTCATAAACAATTGCACTACCCTATTTATTGGGTCTTGTAAACCATATACAGTATGTTTTTTTTATTTTTATTTTAGTTTGTACAAAGTGGAAAAGAGCAGCTTGCCTTAAAGTGACATTAAAGGCAAAAATGTTTTCCCCTTCAATGTTAATGTCAGCACTTACCTTTAATGATGTTTCTTAATCCGATCTTCTTTCTTTTCCCTTTCATCTGTCCCTCCAGCGTTGCGGCAGGGTCTCCGATCCAGCGCTGACTCCTCTGAACTTGCTGGCACTTCCTGTCCCACGGTGTCTGCATGCGGGTGCATGCGTCCATAGACTTACCTTGTGTCTCTCCTCGCGTCCCTGCTGAAAATGTGATCTGCGCATGCGCCTGCCCCAAGATACTTTGCGGCCGCCCGAGAATTTTCACATTTTCGGACGGGAGCACACGGGGAAGACACCTAATGTGATCTGCGCATGCGCCTGCCCCAAGATACTTTGCGGCCGCCCGAGAATTTTCACATTTTCAGACGGGAGCACACGGGGAAGACACGAGTAAGTATTAACCCTTTTAAAAGCAGTTTGTTTTTTTACACTTTTTGCATATATCTACTGCTTGCTAGCAGTAGATATATGCAAAAAAAAGCTGAGGCTTTAATTATCCTTTAACGTTCATGTGTAGATAATACACTGTAGAAATACATATTTGTGATCTGTCTTCCTGCTAGCTAATTTTCTGTTAATCCAGACACCTCTTCGAGACTCACAGCCAGTTACTCAAATGAGAACACTTTATTTTAACCCCTCGGTGACACAGCTTCAGAAAATGTTTTAGTTCCTGGGGACCTGAGCAATTTTGCCATCTTTGCTATGTCTTGTCTAACCATAATTTCCATCATCCTCATTCATAGCACCGACACATACTATATACTGTTTTTTAAAGGACAAAATGGGCTTTAATTTGATGTGACATATATTCTTATTTTTTATAAAAACTTACAAAAAAATGGAAAAAAGATTTGTATTATTTACAGTTTGGGCAATACTAATGTGTACATAATTAGTGTAGCTAAGGGAACGTAATTCATAATAAATTATTTTATTTGTCCTGATTTATAGTGTATATCATATGTCTAGGATTTCAGTTTATTTGGGGATTAATAGGTCACAAAATGGCGATTAGGGTACCAAGATTGGTGCCATATTTTCTTTATCAGGCCAATTATCCAGCACTCTATAAACACCTTCGTGAACTTCTATAGACCAGGCATGCTTACCGCATTTCGTGGCTCGGTAGAGTATCAGCCGTGAAGATGACCTTATTTCCCAAGCTGCTGTTCCACATAAGAGTGTTACCTATTGCAATACCTCACTATAGTTTGCGGGTCTTTCAATGTATTTTATTTGGCATAATAAGAGACCTAGGATTTCCCGATCCGTTCTTTTCAGATCTAAACTCTCTGGATGTCTGGGGGTACCTCAGATCACTAAGTATTATTCCGCCGCCCAGCTTAGTCAACAGACCTTATGGCATGCCACCTCGGATGTCCGTCTTTGGGTTTTCTTGGAGGCCTACCTTTGCATCTTATTACAGTATATTACATATATGATTTCTCAGATGTTTAATTAATTACAAATATTTTCAAATAATGTGTTTTATAAAATGTTGGATCACTGAATATAGAAAACGTTCAAGCAAATGTAAATGTAGCTTAAAAAATATTTTTACAAAATGTTCCTCTAGAGGCTGCCACCAGAATCCAGAAAGTGTTTGACGAATCCTTCATGAAAAAGATCTTGAAAGCCTGGAACGCTGAAACTCAGGACTCTAAAAAGAAGAGGGAGTACTTTGAGGTATGTTTTAGGCAAGTCCTTGTAATGTTGACAGGGTCTGAAATTAATTTAGAGACGTGACATAGTAGACTTGTATTTCTTATCTGAGATCTAAAAATACACCACATGTTTTTACTGTTACTTAAAAATGTAAACATGGCTAAAACTTTTCCATCAACAAAGCTTTCTTTGGTAAGGACATAGTTGTCTTTTTATTGCTGTGCAATATTATTAAATGTAGCACAACTAATGTCCTAGTAATTGTAGACTGAAGACGAACAATGCTTGTATGAAGTTACAAGGCAGATTTCTGAGGTTAGAGATTTTTATTCTCCCCTGGAATAAATGTTTTTACGGGCCTTGCAATGTCCTGTTGAATCTGTTGGAACATTCTTCTGGTGCTCCCATGTCTTCCCACAATCCAATGAGTTATTTTGTTTGGCCTAAACTGAGCCCAGGAAGTGTTAAAGACTGGTCTTGGCAATAGTTATACTAGGGCTTAATGATGGGGACAGTCCATGGTTGTATGTAAAGTGCTACAGAAAAATGTATAATTATAAAGTGGTTACTAAACTGAATATTGGATCCTGCAATATTAACACTATTTTAACAAATATATCAGAGTTGCCCAGGAAATAAGGATTCTGTAATAATACAAACAGCAACATCAGCTAGAGTTCAAAAAAGCATGATGAAAAAAATTACAAAATTAATCCTTTACTAAATGCTATTTTTATTGCATGGATGGAGTGCACAGCTGTGTGACCACAAAGATCCATGGTAATTAGGGCAGAATCATAAAAAGAAGAAGAGCGAATGACTGAAGTTAGGTTTTGCTGATGAGCCCTGATGGAAGTCAAGCCAGCTTCCTCATCCTTCTAATAAGTAGTAGTATAATTCATGGTGGATAATGTCATGTAGCATGAGGTCTTTGTGTATGCCACACCACTTGTGTCATTTACGGCCTGATGGAGGCCGAGCAATGCGAGGGCATGCCTTGCACCTCCTGTTCAGAAATCCCTGAAGTTGAGATAGGGTAAGCAGGAGCATGGAGAAGCACAAGTGCCTGTAACTGGCTCAGATGCAGCAGGGTCAGAGGCAAGCTATAGGTCAAACACAGCCGGACAACGCAGGTACACAGGGAGTAAGCCAAGAACAAAGTTGTAAAGCAAGCCAAGGTCAAGCACAGCCGGGCAGAGAAGGTACAAAACAGCAACCAGGAAGCATAGACAGGATATGAAGCCAGAGTCAGAAGCCAGGGGATCGAGATTTTGCAGAGTCTAAACAAGCCAGGTCAAATCACAGTTCTCCTGCTGCATTTGAACCAATTACAGGCACCTGTGCTTCTCCAAGCGCCTGCTTACCCTGTCTCAACTCCAGAGATTGCTAGACAGGAGGTGCAAGCGTCCAGTAGGAGCACAGGTTAGGTCACAGAAAGCAGAAACTGACTACCACTCAGCAACTTCCCTTGCTGAGGCTCAGGGTTAAATAGTCTGTCCAGGCCCAATTTATTAACCACGTAATCCCAGGCACCATCCCAGATAGCAAGCAATTGATCTGCAAGTTTGAAAATGACTTGCTAAACTATTGCAGACTTGCCAAGCTTCACAATTTTGTTGCACAGCAAGTCTGCATTGCAAGTCTGCAGATCAACGTGCTTTTCAAAAGTGCTATACACTTGCAGAGCTCTTGCTAAGACCTGCAGGACTCTTGCTGTAGACTTGCCAAGCCAATTTGCTACAAATTCAAAAAATGTCAACAAGAACTTGTGCTGCGAGTGTTCTGCAAGTCTACAACTTGCCAGGAATGTGTGCAGCAAGTTATTACGAATTACAATTTAACCCTGCCACAAGTTTGTGGCAAGTTATCCTTGCTATCTGGGATTGTATTAGCCAAGCCAGATCTTCAACGTGAACAACATCTACATCTACAACATCTACATTTCTGCAGACATATTTGCATGCTTGGCCATGTGCAGATCCATGTGTATTACTGCATACACAATTTTCCTGACAACTTTCTTGCACTGTTTGACCAAGTTACTATTAGTTATGGAGTGTGCTGCTACTCAGGTAGAGTATCATTGAAAAGCTGAAACTTGCAACATCACACATGAGCAAAGACGTAATAGTTCATAGTGTGTTTGATGTTGTGCAGTGTAGCAGGGCCACCCCCCTCCAGAAACATGAGTCAAGACCTCTACCTCTGTGTATGTGTTTTTTTTACAAACAGATGTTTTAACAAGTAACAAGTTACTTTGCCTTTTAAACAACACTTCTTAGTCCTGCTGGGCTAGGCAAAGTGATGGTATAGTTTATTTTTAAGCACATTTTATCATTTGTTTTTTATTCTTCAAAACATTATTTCTGGATTAGGAGATCAAGCTTTATACAAATATTTATGGGTTCTGTAAATTAAAAAAGGAAAGAAAAATGATTTAGCAGACACAAAAACAGCTGTATGTGGTGTTTTTAGATGAACGTTTTGAGAAATGTGTAACGTCCTCAGCTATCACATCTTCTATTCCAGTATGGGATGTTGGGACACAATGACAGCTAGCACACATTGCGCAATTTCAAGCACCATGGTGTACCACTGGGGATTAATGGATCAGATATCTAAAATAAGCATTTCAAAGCTTTGTTGTAGTAATTTCAAACAGGTGCCATTGCATAGTTTTTTTTTCAATGTTAGAACGGCTTGTTCTTAGGGGGATTTGAGGCAAATAGTGTGGGCCTGTTGGACAATGAATAGGTCAACGATCTTTGAAATGCTGCCTGATAATCTGGGCACCGCTGCAATATTAATTTTGAGTTTTTCCAACTTCCAACATCTTGGTCTAATATAACATTTCCTGAAAAGTCACTAGTTGTAAAAATATTCTGGTTGTTGTTACTGCAACATACTCTAATTGTTAATTTTGTATCTGAAGTGTTTCCTTAACCCTTTTAATGCAAAGGATCATCTGATGCAAGTCCCATTAATATTGTATAAAAGTGTTTTGTTGAAGATGTTGCTTCTATTTTGTTTCCTTTCAGGACTTGTTTAAGGCATGCAGTAGGTGGCTGCAGGGCAGCAATCATGTTAATCTACCCATATCTCATGATATTTTTATACCAATAAAATCAAATTTGTGTCCAGCCTTTCTCAAAAGCATTCATTAGTACTGTTGTGTTGACAAGAAAGTTTCCTTAGGACCAAAGCACCATGTATTTACGACATTATCAGGAACCCTAACACATCATTCACGTGCTTAGAAAAACACCTCAAGGAGAACAAAGGCCTCACCAAAAATGGCAGACAGAAACATCCAGACACTCATTGGTGTTAGCCCCCTCCAGCCCCATAGGTAAATGACTTTGAGAAACAATCAGTACTAAAAACTTTAGACAGTTTTAGAGGTTTGTTTTAGGCTTATAGAACTCAAAGATATGCAGATTATCTGTAGAGAACATTTGTCTAGGGATGACTGATTCAAACTGCTCCATTTGGGGGTTAAAATTGGAATGTGTATGGCTTCTCTATGGGGCAATAACTAGTGCTGCAGCATTGCAAATAAAGACCATCCAGCTTGGTGGAAAATATCTCTGTCAGGCACTGAGTTTCCCATTTGTATGGCAAAAAAGGGGTCAAACTTTGTCAAGTAGAAAGGTGCATTGCAGTCCCTTAGACCTTCTCTGCTCATGTTTGGGTTTTTAACTTTAAGAGCTGACAGATATTCACCTTATTAATGTGGGTAAAACCCTTGAAGGGCTACATCACCATGGATAATACAATCATAATACATCTGAAATGACGGCCTCTGTTAGGAAGCAGTAAGTTAGTGTGCTTTTCATTAGTAGTGTTGTCATCTATTTTCCAGTTCAGATAGAATGCATTGACTTGAAACACTCCATAAGTCTTCAGAACAGCCTGTTGTTTTCTTGGGAAAAAGTCCTGTAGTTTGCATTTTGGATAGACTGACCTACATTTTTGCAATTCTGATCAATATATTAGCACAGTTCCCATTATGACATGCATTGTGGCATGAATGAGCCCTTACATATGCAGTTTTTGTTATCTTATATGGTATTTGTTATTTTATATGTAACTCCTTGTTTTTCTCCATTTGTGCGAAAAAGCTGGCCATACACCTATAGATTTTTGATCGGAAACTTTCGTTGCTGCCAAGAACCCTCTTTCGATTCTAGCTCAAATAACACATCATGCACAGACCAATGTCGAGTTCAATAATCGTTCATAAGCAACACTAACTCATTGAATTTCGATCGACAGAACAGATTTTCGTTTGCACCTGTGCATTGTTCTCGATGCGATTTTTTTTCGTATGAAAACGCCACTAATCTATCGATTTTTCATTCGATTCAAAAAAGGTTCTCCAGCCTCAACCCTTCGAGAGAATTCGGCCAGGAGTACTGTAAAAAAAATCGTGGGGTTCCCATCAACTGATCGATATCGTTCAAAAGACCATTTGTGGACAATTTCCGTACGGAAATCGATAGGTGTATGGCACCTTAACACCAGCACAATTTTAATAAACTAAACAAGTGGGTTAGTACAAACATCGCTAAACAAACAAGATCATTTTAAACTTTAAAATAATCGTTAAGTGCTCGATAGCATTGTTCCCAAGTGTGACATGCTCCACGGCTCATTAAACTACATTGAATTCAAAGCTGCCAACTCCAAGCGGTGATCATTCCAGAATCCCTCGCTGATGAATGTTTTACTAGCTGAACTTGCTTTTCATATAGACATAATAAAAATTGTTATTGTTGTTAAGAGAAGCTCAATCACTTGAAGTGAAGTTTGATTTCTAGAGAAACAAACTTCGTTGCGTGACTTTAAACTTTAAATATACAGGGTTTGATTTACTAAAGGCAAATAGGCTGTTCAGTTTGCAAGGGAAATTGCACTTTGCAGGGACATTTTACCACATTCACTAAGGTAAGTTGAAACTTACTCTGCAAAGTGTAAATCCCCTTGCAAAGTGAACAGCATATTTGCCTTTAGTAAATCGACCCGAGTGGGTTTTTTGGGCCCTGTGATAAAACAATACTGCTGATGATTTCTGTATGCACTGAAGATGTCCACAGCAACAGTCCCCTAGTCTCTGAATTATTTTCATTAGGGATGCACCAATACCGATACTAGTTTCTGTATCGGTGCCCGACTTCCTTAATGGGACTTCGGTGTTCAGTATCGGCGAGTAACGAAAAAAAAATATCGCTACTCGGTACAGAAAAAAAAGGAATCGGTGCATCCCTAACTTTCATGTCACATAATGGCTGGGTTTGGTGAGTAGCTTGGACATAGGCCTTAAGGCAGCTGCCCTAGGTACATCAGGGCAAGAAAGGATACTTTATTATTTCCAGCTTGGAATAAAAAATGTAACTTGTTCTTTGAGATCTTTTTTAAGTCTACTCTAAAAAATGAACAGAGAAAGTCAGTTCTGGAAACTATGTTTTATGCAATTATATTAGGAACATTGGAGAACTTATCAGAAATGGAAGATAGGTTCATTTTGAAATTTAATTTTTCTGAATCCTTGACAGAAATCTGCTTGTTTTGTACATTGGCCCCTTAAGCGTTAAGAAGTAATGTTGCACCATATTAATACAGGTGCCTTACCATTGGTGCTCCTTTTTTAAAAGCGAGATAATGTCAGAATGAATCAAATTGCATGAAGACAATGTGGAAACATTAACATTCAGCTTTAAATGGGAAGTATTCCAGGGTCTATTTTGTTGTGTCTATTGTGAGAGTATATATTACTGTAAGTAGACGTTTTCTCTACATCTGCTACACAGCTGTTAGTAAGGCTTAGTACCTTTCTTCAGTAGCATCATCTAACTTTGCATTTGCAGTATGTATGATTTGCTGAAATAATTATTGGGTAAGCTTACCTAAAGCTGTAATAAACTCTTACTCTCTTTTTTTTTTTTTTTCAATAATGAATCCACATCATACAAATATACATTGACCAGCAAAGCATTTCTTTAAGTTTTTGCCCATACACTCACATTTATCAAGTTTCCAAACAGATAGCTCCAACTCTCTCAGCTCCACTTCCCTGAAATTCCTGTTCAGTACAAGATCACAAGGGACGAGAGTGTTCAGCAACTGTCCATCTAATAGCTTGGGGAAGGAAGGATGGAGTAAGGAGGAGAGGGGGTCGGTGGTAAAGAGAGTGGCTTGCTTTGCTGTGTATGTGTGTTTGGGGAGACACACACAGCTTACTAGCATACACAACGGTGGTTCCTGCAAGGGAAAGGAGACACCCTAAAACAAGATATCAGGGCCAGTGCTCAGAGGACCAGCTGATTCTAAACTAAGGGCCCGTTCACACCAGTTGCAGTGCGTTCCGCCCTGATTCTGGCCAGAACGCACTGCTCGCATTGCGGCCGACTCACTTTTTAGTGGGGCAAGAGGGCCGCAATGCGATCGCCCGCATGGGATCGCAAGACACATTGTGTCTGCGGTGTGATCAAATTAGTGCTTGCAGCATTCTGATCGCACCAGACCGGACCGCAGGCACAATGTGCCTTGCGATCCCGTGCAGGTGAACGCATTGCGGCCGGAAGGCGTGGCTACGGTGCCATTCACTTCAATGGCCCGCCACGCCCCTTCCTGCCCCACTAAAAAGTGAGCCGGCCGCAATGCGAGGCAGTGCGTTCTGGCCAGAATCGGGCCGGAACGCACTGCAACTGCTGTGAACGGGCCCTACAACCTCTGAACATGAAGAAGCAGCATCCATTAAGGGATTTATTCAGAATTTGAAATAGCTTTTTGACTTTAATATCACTTGAAAGTTTTGAGTCTACTGAAACACTCTGTATCACAAACAACTGCCAATTCCTTTTTTAACAAAATAGCATTTTATATTTTTTTCCTCCTTTGTTATATGTGAGTGCTGTTCATCTTCTACACCCTCTTTCTACATGCATGTGCTGCAGCGATGACTGCATGACATTACTCAGAGTGGGTTATCTGATGGTGACAACAGTTAGTCATGCTTGGGTAATGTGTGTTGAAATAACTATATATAGTCTCTATCAGAAGCCTGAGTGACAAGGTGATAATGGAGGAGCAAACCTGGGGAATAGGGACACACCTTGTTGCCTTATATTCGGAAAAGCCTGAACATGGACTTTCATGGTGGGATCACTAGATATTATTTGAATGAATGCTACAAATTTTTAAATTACTTTTGAAATGACATTAACATGTTAAAGCTTATATTTGAATTATTGGGTTTACATATACTTCAACATTATTGATGATTTTAACTTGTTTTCATATTTCACATTATTTTAATTAGCGATTGGAAAGAGGTGATATGGATGATTTAGGAAACTTTGATTCGTCCACTGTTAGAGAAGGTGAAGATGTTGTGTCACAGTTGCCGCAGAAAGCCATTCTCAAGGTAAAGGTCTATCTGTATTTGCATTGACGTTAGGGTTTGTGTACACACAAGCACATTTTATATGCAACTTCACAACTGGATACCTAAATCTAAGATCCATGCATTTCGTCTTACAAAGTTCTTTGAATAGGTTTTGTACATTTCTTTATTATTTTGATAAAGAACATATGTTTTGTTTGTTATGGGTGAGTCATATGATAAGGCATGCTTTGTTTGGCAGTAGACTCTTTATTTTTTATTGCTGAGATCACTTCATAAATCGGATTTAAATTGAAAGTGATCCAACGCTCCATACATATGACCTAACACATATCTATTTCAAGAGATAAGGAGTTAATCATAAGGAAAGGTCAATTGTATCTCTCCTAATAGTGAATAGGTCACATTGACCAATCTACTTTTTTTTCTCTGCTTTTACCCTCCTAAACTGCAGAACTCCAGTAAGGACCTAGGATGTCACACATGCCCACAGGTGTGGGGGCAGAACCTGCTGTCATTTTAATAGTCAAGGTCCCAATCTGTCAGCTGCTCTGCTGGCATTGATTGACCAAAAATGTGTATGTAAAAAATGTCCTTTTTTAATTTTGTAGCATACAAAATAAAACATTATCACGTTATCGCCAAACATTCTACTATAAAATTGGCACTGGTCAAACTGGGGAAAGATGTACAGTATTTTGACTTGATCTAAGCTTAATCTGTGCCTTAATTCTCTATTTATATGACCCATGTGCTGTATACAATGTTACAATGTACATTTATGTAACCTTTCAAGGCTAATTTCCTACTTTCCTTCACAATCATAGCTTCACATAAATGCATTTATTAACAAAAAGGAAATAACAGCAAGCACACAAATAAAAAGCATAGAATTAAATGATGCAATAGGAAGCATAAACAAGTAACCACGTTCCAAATTTGTGTTCATTACATTACCATTGGAACTCTGCCATTTTCACAGCAGAACATGTTGCTGTAATATAGTACACATTTATATTGCGGTTAGAGACACAGTCCCAGTTTTATTTTTCCCAACTTTCATCTTTTGTATTTATTCCATATGCTTCGACCATGTGCTGTATTGTTTTATATTTCTACAGATATTTGCTTTCATGGATTTGATAGATCTTGCAAGAAGTGCCCAAGTGTGTCGATCTTGGAAGATAATAGGGCAAAATAGTTCTCTTTGGCACAGTGTAAGAACATTGTATTTTTTCATGATTCCTAAAATGTATATGCTGCATATGTCTGTAAAGGCTTTGGCGATCAAGGTCGTCGTATAGCTAGTAAAAGTTAGTCAAAAAGAAGCCACCTGGATGAATGGAGAAAAAGTTTCAACTATAAAAAGCAAGTCCAGCTTACTTACTAACTGTCACTCTCATAACTGCACATTTTGTAATAATGTAGGATACATTCATGCCATTCAGACCAGCAAACCAAGACCTGCATATAGGTTAAAGGAGAACTATGAGGTGAGTGCTTTCCACTCACCTCATAGTTCTAGCCGGCCTGTAACAATGAGACTGTCACAGGTCGGCTCAGTAGATCGGGAGGTGAGCAAACACATACCGGCGTTCGCTCACCTCTCAATCCTGTCACGTCTCTCTGCCGTGACATGGGAGGGGCTGAATTCCCCCCTCCCCGCTCCGCCAGCGCTGGCTGGCAGAACGGACGGGGGAAGGGGCGGGTACAGCTGGCTCTGCCTCTAGATAGGCAGAGCCAGCTGTCAGTCATGCAGCTGGGCAGATCCCGGCACAATTGTCGACTCAGTATACCGCGAGTAGAAGCTTGCGGTATACTGCGGCGTCTCAGTATACCGCGAGCTACAGCTCGCGGTATACTGAGCCTAGGGTGACGGGAGGACGTTAGTTTGTGTCCTCCCGTTACCCTAAGGAGAACTATGGGGAAAAGCCTTAACCCCATAGTTCTCCTTTAACCATTATTAATAGATGAAATCTACCACATTATAAGCTTTCATGAGCAGGGCCCTCCCAACCCTCCTGTATTAAATTTGTATTGTACTATACTGTCTCCCTTCATTTTGTAAAGCCCTGCACAAACTATTGGTGCTATACACTGAGTGGCCAGTCTATTATGACCACCTGACGTTTGCAGGCAAATTAGCTATAATTAGCTATAATTTTGCGCTGAAGTTGCTAGAGGGTCAGACCATTATAAATAGGGAAGCAGGCTGTTTACCTCGACAGTAGAAGTGCTTTTTTTCTGAAGATATGGGTAAACAACGCGATTTAACAGCCTTTGAATGTGGGATGATTGTTGACGCGAGCCATCGAGCGAGTATCAGAAAAACAGCAGGATTTGTTAAATGTTTAAGAGGGGCTCATTGTTAAAGTGTTTAAAGACTGGACTGTCAGCCGAAAATCTGGGTCTGAACGTGCGAATTGTGGCCGTCAGCGACTAGTCAATGTTAGGGCAGAACGGAGAGTGGCAAGACTGGTACAAGACAACAGAAGGGCAACAGTGCAGTGTCAGATTCCTCGCATCACCTTTCAACATCTTGTGGAGTCACAAGGCGGCCCAACTAAGTCATTTTGTGGAGTTATCTCGTGGCCCAACCAAGTACTGATGGGGTGGTCATAATAATCTGGTCACTCAGTGTATAAATCCTGTATAATATTAATCATAATTTAAAAATGTACACTCACAAACAACCACCATGTGTTTAAAATTTAAGGTGTAATTATTGCCATCTTGCCAAGTTATGTCACCTTAGGTGGCTAAGACTTGCCCATCATTCTGCACATTTGGACATGCAAATCCTGCACATACTTTATTGTACAGTAAGGATTAGGTGTTAATCTTGGGACTAGGGTAAGGGTTACGTTTAAATGTTAAGGGTTAATTCTAGCGTTAGCATTTACAGTTTGGATGAGGGTAAAGTTAAATCTTAGCGGGTGGTAAAAGTTCAGGGTCAGGGACATGTTGGCATACCCTTTATTTTTAACTTGGTAACATACACTGAGAAACTGAAGCAATAAAATAATAGTTTGTGATACCAAATACAAATTAGTTAGAGGAAATATTATCATGTTGAAGGATAAATACTAAACTGACTGATTGCTTATAGAAAATACTCAATTAATAGTAAATGTTGGTGGGCCATTGTAAGGGTCACGTCAACCCCAAGCAATATGAGTGACATTTATTTTCACTTCCTTTTATTGTCTTTACATATTTTGGTGTTTATTTACTTGCAAAGTTCTTTGACATACTAGTTTGTTGTCTTTTACTTGATCTAGATTGATTTTTCCTCAGTGAGGCATCGTATTCAAGACAAATTTGTAGTGAATATCTTACGCAAATGTCGGCCCTATGTTATACGTTTAAATCTCCGCAGATGTTCTTCTCTTCTCTGGTCTACATTTAAAGGCATAGGTAAGAAGTATATTTTTGCCTATTAAGACCTTGCTGGATATTTTATAATATGCTGCTAAGTTCACTCAACAGGCTATTGATCTTTGGCAAAGCAGCAAATATGCCTTTCCCTGATGTAGTACAAGTGAACATGCAGTTACATTCAAAGTTTGAGTGTGTTCTTGTCCTAGGGCAATGCACATGCATATTAACTAAAGCCATGACTGCCTCTCTATGTTTATATTTACCTATTTCAAGCAAGCCTATATTTGCCATACAGTAACAGTTAAAGTGACTCTGTCATGAAACAAAAAAAAAACAAAATATGCTGAAAGTATAACGAGAAAGTACATAGAGGCCGGATACAGTCTGCCCTAAAAAAAGCAAAGCTAAGGCACTTCTGGGTACTCTTGGAACTTACTTATACCTGCTACCCTTATACTATAACTAGGATGGGCTGTTTAACAAGCCAATAGGTGGCAGGAAGGGTTGGGAAAACTTTGGCAGAGCTTTGCTTGGCAGAATGTAAATCGGTAAAAAAAATTTGATCCGTGTATGGCCAACTTTAGGATTATGGCTACCAGTCAAAATGCCTTGCGGGAATGATCAATCAGGCAGATCAGAAAACCTTACCCGATTGAGTGTTTATTCCAAAATAAACTGCTCTCTTTTCTTCCTACACCACAAACATAAGCATGCATACTTGGATACTATGATCCAGATGTGCAAGTTTATTGCTTAAACTGCTGAAAATGATTTTTCCTGGTCATCAGGACATTAAGGCTTATCTAAAAACATACATTTTGTGTGCTAGATTATTGTTACTCTTAAAATTTTATCACTGGTAAAGGAGCAAAAAAACCTTTCTGAATTACCTAGTCATAAATGTATGTCAGGATGTGAAGCGTTGATAACCCTGGTTCAGAGTTCTGCCTGAGAATGCTCAATGGAAATTACAGTCTGCAAGTTAAAAAAAAAAATCTGATTTACATATTTGTTTGCTGTTATATGTACAATAGACAGTAAAAAAAAGTTGTATTGCATAATTAGATATAACATTTGGATAGTTATGGCAATAATTCATAAATAATATTTTGTAATTTAGCAATATACACCTCAAAGTGTGCCTTAAAATGTAAATATATGAAACTGGTATATCTTATTGCGGATGAGTTA